GTAATGAAATTTCACCAATTATGGTAGTAAAATTACCATTTAAAGTGATGAATTTTTTTTCTTTTTTCAAGTGATGAAATTCAAATTACAAACAACGTTAGTGGTGAAATTCGTATCATAAACGAGAAAATATTCGGTACTGAATTATCCATTAGATATGAATACCTCAAGAGGGAAAATATTCGGTACTGAATTATCCATTAGATATGCATCTAGAAATATTCAATATCTTTTGGTACCTCAAGAGAGAGGGTTTGAAATGACATTTTCATTCAATAATCTCAATTCAACCATAAACTCTTCTCTCCTAGTTTTTTTGTTTTCTTGTTGTGAATAAATAATTAAATAAATAATCACTTATCATATACAACTCCTTAGCATCCTGTGCAATAAAATTTTACTTGGTTAATTTTTTTGGGTTAAGTTTATTAACTTGTGTTAAGTTTTGTCAATATCTCACATAAATCCCTTCTATATTTAATAATGTCACTTATCTTGGCTTTGAAGTTCTGGTTTATACAAAGTATATATTTTCTCTTTGACTATTTTGTCCTTCTAATATCGAAAATAAGATCAAACATTTACTAGGTAAGAACAGTTACAAAAATTCCAAAAGTAAGTGAGATTATGAGAACTAGATGAGTTTGTGTAAGATATTATTAACAAACCAGGTGAGAGATAAGTGAAATTAATTCTTTTTTTTTATTTAATCAAAAATAAAAAATTGCATTAATTCAAATATTTGGAAATTTCATCCAACAAGCACGAGGCCAAACAATCCACTGAAATCAGGAAGTTTGATTATATCCAAACTCCAATGATTCTTGATTTATTTTATTAACCTAATAATTATTAGATTCCATTTTTTACCAAATAGGTATCTACTAACTTACTTGATGAAAAAGAAAAGAAAAACAAATCTATACCTCACACGGTACATTGTATATATTCTCTCTCTCACACACACACAAACCATGAAAAAAAGCTGAAAGGCTCCAACAATGGCGTTTTTATCATCATCAAGAGCTCTTACTAGAGCACGCACTCTCATGAAGGTCCTCCATCCACGAATTGCCGCTCCGATCTCCTCCGTACGTTCCTTTAGCTCTTGCAATATTACAGATTCTGAATCAAACTTAGATCGTATTGTCGATTTCCACTCCAAACAGTGTCCTAATGGCGAAGGTAATTAAAAACAGACCACTCAATTGTTTCTGATTATGTTTTGATGTGTTATGGCGATTTTATTGATATACAAATAGTTTTTTTTTTAACTTCTATTGCTTGAACAAACAAAATTGTGAGGGTTTTTTTAGGGTTAAATTGCATATGTCGTTCAATTTTCATACTCCAGAAAAATAAAATTAACGGATGTGATGGTTGTCAGTAAAATTATTTATGAGTTGAATAGATTTCAAGATATGAAAAGTCATCGTGGCCAATAGTAAACGTATTTAATGAAATTATAAATGAAGTTAAAAGTTCTTTAGCTTATTATGGTGGTTTAAATATTTTTTCTTCTTGTTGTTAAAGGTGCCCTACATAATTTTCTGATTTGTTGGTAGCTTTTATGAATGATTTTAGGATATTTAAGATTAAAAAAAAAAAAAAAAAAATCTAATTCCAATATATAAATAAATAAAAGGCAAAGAATACTTATATATATACACACACACACACATCACACTGAGAATTTAAGTTAAAGTCCACACAGAGCGCGCTCACTATTGTGTGACTTAGGAGAATAAGGAGGAAAAATTATTAGTTGAATAGCTCTGCTTTGTGGATAATTTTGGACATTGCGAAAATTTTAAATTCTGAGTAAAAACATAAAACTATTAAATTGTCTACGAGAAATAGAACTATTAAATCTTTCATTTTCCCATATGTTTTGATGATTTTATAATTTGTGGTTGTGTTGTTGAGGTTATTTGCTGATAAATCAATTACCGAAAGAAGAAGAAGAAGAAGAAGAAGAAGAAGAGAGTTGGATAGCACTGCTCTTGTGGATAATTTTGGAGAATTTAAGATGCAAAACTGACCTAGTGAATTAATTTTAATTACAAACAAAAATACCTAATACTTAAATTGTATACGAGCAATGACTAAAACAATGCTAATTTTCTTTCAATTTCAATTCGATTCACCAATTTCATGTATACTACCAAACATGGTATTCGTTAATTTTCCCATTTGTTTTGATGCTTTTATAATTTGTGGTTGAGTTTTTTCAGCTTGTACAATGGCGAATCGGTTTTTGAAAGAAGGGTCATCCATCCCCCACAAGGTGATGAAGCATGAGGAAGCAGCGTTCATGAGGTTGGACATGCCGGGGATCGGAAAAGAAGGGCTGACGGTGTGGGTTGACGGCAACTCTCTGCACGTGAACGGAGAGGAAGAGGTGGACAAGGAGCAAGAGAAGAAGTTTTATCCGAGGAAGTATTCCGGCAACATCCAAATCCCTCGGGGCTACTACAAGGTGGAGGATATCACGGCGGTGTTGAAGAATGGTGTGCTCAAGATCAAGATTCCAAAGAGAGAACAAATTATCATCATCAAGGTGGATTGTCCATCTCCTGATAAAACCAGTGATGACGATGATTTTTATGCTAGTACATTTATTTTACTGTTTGTTTTTGGGCTCTATTTTTTGATCCATTTATATTCTTAAGAAGCTTAGATCAGATTTTGACACCGCATTCACAACGTTAATTGATTTATTTTATTTTATTTTATTTTAGTTTAAATTAGTTGGGCTAAAGTAATGAATTAAGGTTGAGCTTCCAAGGAGAAAGCCTTTACGAGTACATACAACATTTGTTTTTACTCTGTTTACATTTCTCAGTTCAAATCAAGCAGCTGTTGCAAAGAGATGCTGGTGATTAAACTGAATTTTAATTAATTAGGATTTTTTTTTTCCCTATTTAACTAGTATTTTTCTAAACAAAAAGAAGAATATATTAGTTTGGTTAGTACAATGCATTTATGTGGTACATATATTGATTTAATTTATGCATAGTCCATAACCCATTGAAATTAAGGGAGACTATATCCACACTACACATTTCTCCAATTGCATTATAGTTTTCATTTCTTTTTAAAGAAAATAACAAAGAAGTCCTTTATTCATTAATGCATAATTTCTTAAATTATAATGTCATAACTATCCTTTATATAATATTAATTCATTTTTTTTTTAATACGTTCTTTCCTTTATTTACTATTTTTTTTTTTTGATTTTTTTTTTTCCTTTCTTTGTGTTTTTTTTATTTGATTTTAATTTATAATGTCAAAAGGGATTATTTTTTATTTATTTATTTATTTATTTTTGGTACAATCGATAGAGATATGTTTGCCACAAAATTGACTTTTTTATTTTATTTTATTTTGTCAAAAGAGGTAACTTTATTTTTTGTTAATTTTTTATGGGTCTTGTCAAAAGAAATAATTTATTCCATAAAAATAAATTTTTTTTTTTTTTTTTTGGTCTTATCAAAAGAGATAATTTGTTCAAAAGAGATCATTTTTTTTTAATCATCTTCCTTTTGTATTTTTTATTAGACAACAGAGATAATTTATTAAATAAATATATTTTTGGGGTTTTTTTTTTCTTCATATCAAAAGAAATAATTTTTTAAATGGTTACTTTTTTTTTCTTTTTTTTTTCAGCCAAAAGAGGCAATTTATTAAATATAAAAAATTTTTTATTTTTTATTTTTTATTTTTTGGACCTTTAAAAGAATTTATTCAATTTTTATTTTATTTAATTTGTGTTGTCAAAACATATTTAAAGTATTAAATATTAGAGATAAATGAGTTTTAATTACATTTAAAAAGTAATAATTATTTACTTGTAAAGGTAAGATAAGAATTACAATTTTATCTAAAATTGTAATGCAAATATTGAAAAGTACGAATATCACCTCCCTAAATTAATCATAAATCTATTAAATCCTATACATACTACTTTGGTACGTAGTTTCTGTGATGTCTCACATAATCTCATATTTTTTCGTTTTTTTGAAACGTAAATTAAAATTTATTAAAAAAAACCTGAAGCGGGCTAGCAATAGCTAACCCTATACAATAAGCCCGAAGGCAAACAGAACCTAAGAGACCCAAGGCAATATGCAATCAAAAGAAAACCAGGCCAGAGAGAGCCCAAACATAGGCCCAAGTTCAACCCTGCACAATTCAAATGCAATAACCGTTACTGGTCATGGCTGCAAATCCCGTATTGCAGGAGATGAACTCCAACCAAATCACAATGATTTCAGGAAGCAAGATCAGGAGGCTTCGCCGGAAGTCGAATCACCGACTCGGGTATTTTCCATTCCTCTGCAATAGGTTTCCTGTTCAAAGAATCCGAGATTGTGTAGGAAAGCAACTTGGATCGAATTGTTTGCAAGGTCTGATGGAGTAGTGAATTTGCTGATAGAGACTTCTTTTGAAAAATCTTGTGATTGCGTTCATTCCAGACATGATAAACCAGGGCTGCAAGACTCATCTTGAATAATGAGTAACTAGGGAATTCCGAGATGCCTCGCGAATGAGGTCTGTCCATGAAGATGGATGGATGTAGAACTCGCAACGTGCTTGTATAAATGACCACAAGGATTTGATGTAAGGACATTTGAAGAATAGGTGGTCATGGCTTTCCAAGCACATAGTCTCGTATTGCAGGCAAGTTTTTGCATTTTTGAATTTGTCTTATATTTGGGTGATCTAGTTACGGGGGCAATTAATGATTTTAGTTTTAATTAATTCCGAGCTGTGTAGTTATTGTTCTCTTTACATACTCTCCTCTCATTTCTCATAGTTGTATTGCTATTTCATGTAGGTGAGGCTCGTTGCAGCGATGAATATAAAAAACATCTATTACTTAATAATTAATTATTCATGAAACTAATATGCTCAATCTAAGAGTAGTGTTTAAGACGTGATAATGTGACATAAATATCACTATTGAATTAAATCATTGGACCTCTACATTAGAAGAGTAATAATAAGAGGACATGTGTCCAAGTTTGCAGGGTTTGTGACATGCAATTAACATAGGATAGATGGTTCAAGCTCAATGACACAACAATTTAGTAATGTAGTGGCTCTAAAACAATTGATTAAGAAACTAAGTAGATTTGTTGATCTCTTTGTTTTGCTCTTGAGACCATCATTTCTTGTGTTGCATTGAAATCTGACATCTCCCTTAATGATCACTTGTTTATTCCTCACGTCCACTGTGTACTCTGTTAGTCCTGCAATTTTGTATGAAAAAAAACGAATAATAAAGATACTATACATTAATTATGGGAAATTATATTTCAGAATTTAAAATAATATATCGTTTTTTAAAGCAAATTTCATAACTTATTAAGACTGACAAGCATGTCTATTTGAATTTGACATACCTTCATGTGAATTTTATAGTAAAGTTTCAAAATCTAATTCATTTCTATTGCATCCTACTTACAGGAAAATAAAATTTTATGCTGAATTTTTTGTGTAAAAAGAATCAATACCAAACTTTAAACACTTACCTTACTTACGTTTGATAGCACTTTTAAATTTAAAGCGTCGATTCAGTACTCTCAAACCGAACTTTATAAATTTATATAAAAAAAAGTATCCTAGCACATTTATGTTACTAATCATATATAATCATGCATATAATCAAATATGCTATGTGGTCATCAATTAAATATTCATATAGATACGACAAGTGCATATATATACAATTTTTTTTCCATGGCAAGAGAGGACCATAACATTTACATTAATAATAGTATATGACATGCATATAAAGTTGAGTTCAGACATTGTTTTGGGTGTATTATTATTATTATTATTATTAATTTTCTTCTTAGAGTATGTGTGTTGGTCCCATAACACATGCACTATTCAAGTCAAGAGTGTAGTTCGAAAGCAAAATTTCAAGGACTTACCTCTTGGATCCCTGTCAACGCCACTATGCCCCTAGAAACTTTTGAATGTATTATTTATTATGTGTTTATTTATATAGAAATATATTAAATATAAAAATATATTTGTATTGTTTGTATATTTGAAATGAAAGCGTATATTTGGATATTGTATCGATCAAAGGAATAAGGGGGGAAAAAAAATCTCTAAAGTCATTTTCAAACCACTTTTATTTTTTAAAAAATTCTATAAAATTTATTGAAATTTGTTGAATACATGTTTGAAAATTGTTTTAGATGAAAATGAAAGGAGTATATCTCCAATTGAGCTACATCTCACCTGTCATCTTTGAAACAATGTGGCCAACTCTCCGTTGACACAGCGTACACCCCATGTTTGCAGTTACTTCTATCACCTGAAACTAATGATAAAGCAAAATCATTAAATTTCTGTTAATTTTTCATCTTATTGTTTGAACTTATATATATATATATATATAAAGTACACACACATTATTTGTGTGTCAGCATCTCTTGTAGTTGACCAAATAATATTTTGAGATTCACTTCGTTAAATGGATGAGAATGGATAGAAATGAAATTATGAAATTATGCATATAGAGATGGTTTTTGCATACATCCATATATGTTAACATAAAGTTTGACTTAAAATATACATAAAATAAATAGAGTGTATATATATATAGATATATATATATAAAAACCAGTAAGAAAATCCATAATGGTTAATCCCATTTATAAATAACATTTATTGTGTGAATAAAATCCAATAATTACCAAATCAAATTAGAAATGAAGCTTATGAATTCACTAAATATGATCTAACAGACAGCTATATGCAGCAAAAGAAGACAGAAAACACCAATTTAATGGAAAATCCTAATTGCCCAAAACCAATAAATGGAATGAAACAAAGAATTTATTATTATAAATTCAAGAAAATAAAAAGAGTGTTGAGAACCTACCGAGGGAAGTGTAAGATTCTCAGCGTACATGAGAGCTTTCTTTGTAAGTTTCTCCATTATCGTAGAAGAACTCTATCTCTCTCTCTCTCTCTCTCTCTCTCTCTCTCTCTCTCTCTCTATATATATATATATATATATATCTCTCTCTATAGATGATGATGAGCTTGGTCTTCTCTTCACCAACACCTTCTACCATATACTTGTCTCGGCATTATTGTCCTAAGTTTATAATAATTAATTATGGTCGAACAAAGATAATAGTTCAGACGTTACAATATAATATTTCTAATTAAAAACTAAGTTCGACTTTGTGCTAGCCATCATTACAATTTTGTAATTAATTAGTACGTCACTTTCACATTCATTGCTATAATTAATTCTATAAGAATCTGAATCGTCTTCAGTATCATAATTCAATCATTTATCAAAACAATATTGTTTTGATATATAAGAGGACTTTAAATTTGATTGAACTATCAAAATAGTATCGTTTTGGTACATAAGAGATTTCAAATTTTTGGTACGTAAGAGATTTCAAATTTTATTGAATCAGAGTGTGCGTGTACACATCCCACGACTTATAAAAATATAGAAGGGAAGATCATATTTCATACCAAATTATACATTATTGTAGTTCAACCCAACACTCAATAAAGATATTTTCTTAAAGTTATAATACAGGTCGAGAAGATCATATTTCATACCAAATTATACATTATTGTAGTTCAACACAACACTCAACAAAGATATTTTCCTAACACTCAATAAAGATATTTTCCTAAAGTTATAATACAGGTCTGAGATTCGAACAAAATGAATAGAAAATAACATTATGACCATGTATCATATTTAATGACATTATGATTATGTCATCTCCTTTGTTGTTGTTTTTTTTCCTATTACTTGGGTGGGCAGGAGTACTCCGGATTTTGAGTGAGCCGCCTCTAACTTTTACTCTGTTCTCTTTCTACCCTTTCTTTCTCTTAGCCGCTCGTCTCCTTCCGATTTGCTCCCTGCTCCCTTCCATGAGAGTGGGGAGGTGACCTTGCTTGCCTCCTACAGGTTAAAAATCTTGGTGTGTCTCAATAAGTTTGCCCTGTAGGTGACTTTTCACATCGTTTTTTGTTTTGTATGGCTAGATCTGCTCTTATTTGGTTTGTTTCCGGCTCAACAGAGTGAATCTGTCGTTTTCCCTTCATCTAGATCTATGATCTGGGTCGATTTTTGTTTTCCCTAGCTTGATTTGATCTTGTGCGGGGTTGGGTGTGTGGAGGCGTCTTGTGAATGCAGTTTTGGAGTTGTTGCCTTGATGATGGCCTGACATTTGGTCACTCTAGTTGCTGCTCTTCTTTCCGTTTTAGAGCGGTGGCTTTTTATCAACAAATCTCCCATTTCGCTAACCGCTACTACGGGAATCGCTTTTGCCTGTTGGCATTCCAGCCTTCTTTCTCCTTTCAGGGCCTATCCGAAAGAGAATCCAGTACTTTATTTTCTTTATTTTTATTACTTTACTTCATAATTTGTATGTCTTTATCTGACTTGGCTTATGTTTCTGTACTATCACTTTGGCTTGGCCTTTGTGTTCTTCAAATGATAAAAAAAATAAATAAATAAAATAAAAAAGGGTGGGCACGCATTATGGTTACATTGAAAAGCATGAGGTTAATGTTGTTGGTTGTATGGCGGTTTTGGCATGTTATGGCCACCAATATCGACCTTTCTTATGTTTGAATACTTTGGTGGGCTTCATGTTCTCATTGGCCATTTAAGTAATGCCTCATTAGATTATATTAATTTGAAGATAAGATTGGAATCAAAGGGTTTATTAGAAGATTATAAAGCTTGTTGATCAAACTGTCTAGTTATGGAGAAATTGATATTTTGTTTCCTTAAAAAGAATAAAGATTTATAATGGAAATGCTTTAGTGTTTCTCAATGACACCTGGTAAAATGGCTACTACTAGCACAGCAGACATGGAACCAATCTAATCTAATTAGCTAAACAGTTATACATACATATATATTAGTGCATATATATTTGTGTGCGTGCCAGTGTATATATGACTACATGAATCATTTATTTTAGAATATAGTCGGTGGATGAGATGAGTCTCGCATAATATTTATTCCCAAATCATAGTCATTATCAAAATTGAGTCGAATCATCCAACTATTTTGACAATAAAATTTCCAAAAAAAGAGGGTTACATTAAGAATTTATAGTTTCAATTATAATCTCATTATTACTAAACCCATCATATGCTCTGTGTTCATCAATTAAAAAATATTTAATTAATGAAGTTAGGTTTACTAATTTTGTTTTTCTCGGATTGTGCTTGCAAATCTTTAGAAGCACGCCTTGATGTGAGTTTTATATCTTTTTTATAGGTTAGGTATGCCTCTGTTAATGATGTATGTAAATGATATTCCGATTCAATGCATTCTAGCTTATGTATATGCTATTTTTTACTCAAATTATTTATTTATATATTACATTTTGTTTCTAGCAACTCAAATTAACTCTTCGTTTTGTGAATTCTAACTTTTCCAAAATTAATAAAGTCTCTAGAATTTAAAACTTACAATGACTTGGTTCAAGTACAAGTAGTATCTTAAAAATAAAAGCATCTCCTGATTGAAGTTTAGGTTCACTATTTAAGCTTATTTGGTTTAGCCACCAAAACTCAAGCTTATTTGGTTTAGCCACCAAAACTCAGGCTTGTATTAATATTGATAATAATAATTTAAAAAAAAATTTAAAATTTAAAAAAAAATTAAAATTTAATAATAATAATGATGATGATTTCAAGTATAAAAGTCGCTACTTACATAAAATAATCATATATTTTTCCGACTATTGGAGTCCTTATCCTTATTCATTAAAAGAGTATCAGCTACAAATCGTAACAGATTCTAATAAAGGAACACTATTTAGGGTAAAGTTCACGAACGTATTTACAATACTAACAAACTAACCCGGAATTGTTCCAACCCAATACACCGATCAGATCCTGTCTAGAAATTCTGTCTGAACTCTGATTTGTTTACTTAATCAACTAATATGATCAAATGGACCTCAGTTCAAATCATATATTAAACCCAGCATTAACTGTACACAATACATACAAACAATTTTTGAAAATGATGGTAGTCTAACACATTAGTTGATTCAAACTCGGTCTAAAGTGTGTGAACACCAATAGACAGCCCGAACATTACAGCAGTCACTACAAAACCCTCCATCATTGGCAGAAAACTCCTAGACTTGTTCTGGTACTAATTTTAAACCAACTACTTCTTCCCGAACAATAAATATATAAATAAACCAACAAAGAGTGCAATTATATACAAAAATTCTCGCACCATTTAAGCAGAACTCGAGCACATTTTTCCTTTCATATTAATAAGTTGTGCATGGAAATATTTATACATTTTCCAAGTAGAAGATGGATACGGATGCAATTAAATTATACATCTAGCATATTTTCTAAAATTCAGAGCTCAGGAGCTGATGTACAGAGAAAAATGAATATAAGGGCAACAGTCTCATGCGTACCCACATATAAAATCATAACAAACCTTATACAAAAGTATGCATGTTTCCGGAAAGCCAGTTCACTTCCGCTCAAGGCCCCTATAAAAGCAACAAAAAGATAATAAAAATTTAATAATACAATATTGTTATCATTTGCAAAGTTGAAAGGAAAGGACAGAGCCAGTTATGAACTTTCTAATCACAGCAATTCCGTATATCTGCTCAATTCAGCCTGTTTCATTTGTCAGCCTACATTAAGCAATTCCTCAAACAACCCATAATTTGATGACATTAACCGTCTTCCAAACAGCGCTGAATTGTACTATTGGCATGTCAAAAAGTAAATTTTTTTAGATGAGCTGGTTATTAATTAATTCGCTCAGATCTGAATTATATGGATATTGTAGGAAAAGGTAAGAAGCAAGAACAGAACAAGCTCGATGCAAGATCCAAATGTTCTAGAATCTTCTTAGAAATACACATCTATTGAAACAAAGTAACACATGCGGATAGGTTAAAGTGTTCCAATGAATATGCAGGACAATAGTCAAGCATACCATGTAAAGTGAGATGATACTACTTGAATGAAAGAAAAGGTCTCCAAACTGTCTTCATGCCCAAAACATGTAAACTGAACTCAGAAGCTGTAATTAAATTCTTGTTTAAATGCTTCCATGTTAAAACTTCAAGATAAGGTGCACATTCCTGAGTGTTCGAAAATTTTTGGGGAAGCAATATAATAATATATAATCATTGTCAACTCCTAAACATCATTAGTACTGAGTATTCATAACTTCAGAAAAAAGACGCTCAAAATTCGATGTTGTATTCCTGCTTAAAAACGAGTGAACTGCTCATATTGAACACGTATTTTACACAAAAACACCATTTACCCCTACAAAAAACAGAGGTGAGAGAGACAATATTCAAAACATATATATTTAGCTATGTCCCCATATTCTTGGATTTGACAAGTCCAAGGTTTAGATACATCATACCTATATTATACATATTTATCCAAGTCGTTAAGTCTTATGTAACATATTTCATACCTTGACAAGCCAATGGCCCTCAAGTTCTTAGCCCTGCAAACCCCTCAATCTATGGTAAGCATTACATATGAAATGGAGCACTAGTTTTTAAAAAAGTTAAAAGATGGTTTTTCGAACATCATGCATGCAAATGCTACTGAAGCAGTATTTTCTCAAGTGATCAAAAACCCATTGCATAATGAAATTAACTCTCCCCAGCTATGTGTAATTTTTGTCAACACCACCAATCTGATAACCAGTGCATACATTGAAAACCAAAATTCATGCATGATTGTCATGCTCATTTAACATTAGTTCAAGAGATTTATATCAATACATCATACTTTTCATCTTTACATGGGGAAGGGGAAACTCTTTATCTTTTACATGGTAACGGGAAAAATAAAAATAAAACACCTCAAGCTTGACATGCATTGACAGGCATAGGAAATGGGGGATCTAGATATCCTCCTGAAAAGTAAATGACCATTATTTATTTTCCGGCAATCCATCTGCCAACTGCATTTGCTTGAAACCAAAGTTTGATGTGTTTTGATTTCCAGAGGGGGGCACTTTGAGAGGAAACATACAAATTTTTAATGCGACTTCATCAACCATCACCACACAATCATCTGCTGGTTTCATGAAATTCGGGGATTAAGTTTCTCCAAAAGCAAAATAAAAGTTGGATTTCTAGGTTACTCAGGTGTCCTGACCATAAACATAAGCTTTGGATACGTAGATGGTTGAAGTATGTTTCATAATCTCAAGTATATCAAACATCATTTTCACCTTCTTCATTGAAGCTGTTCCTATTCTGCAACCATTTCCTCTACTCACTTCCCAATTTTCTGTTTTTGAGGATTCTGTTGAGAATTAGAGACGGTATTCTCCCTATATAGTAGAAAAAGATAATATATAATACTATTGGTTAGAGAGGCTTTTTTCTATTTTTTATAGAAAATACCCAGGGAGAACCATAATGTCTATGGGCATAAGTTTGCTTGATTGTCTTTTTTTAGTTTTTGTCTCTAAGAAGTAAGAACTTGCATCATTTGAACAAGAAAGAGCTTTGCTTGCTCCATGTTTTTAAATTATGCTGGCACCACTCTTCTAATGTCCTTTACTATTGTTAGGGGTGACTCTTAAACGCAACAGTTACTCAAAGCATTGCCTTATGCTGGTGATCGCTTCAATGCCAGATATTCACTAGAAATAGGCAGTTGTCGTCTACACTAGACACACTAAAAATTTAGTTTCCTTTCTCTGCACCAGAGACCCTTAAGGTTTAAAACTGTCAATATCCTATAATAATGGGTTACAAGCCAAGTACCCTAGTGCAAATATAGTTTGTATCCAAAACCAAGTCATGGATCACAAGAAAACCACCACCATATAAGAAAAAACATCATGAGATTTAATATTGTGTCAAAATACAAAACTTTCTTCCTCACCAAACTCTTGTTTCAGAATCAAAACGTACATCAAAAACACATATTGTAAAGACATTCCAAGTGCAGTAAACAACTACAAATACCCACAATGAAATAAGCACAAATGCAAAAAACAATACTAATTACCTCCTAGAAGACCCTCTGTCCCTTGAGACTGCTCCATCTCTTCGGCTCTTCTCTAGTACCAAAGCTCGTTCCCTGCCCTTCTCTCGCCTCTCTCTCCTCAACCTTTCTTCCCTCATCTCCTCCAATGTTTTCTTCCCGCTACTACTCTTGCCCTCTTCCTTCCCCTTTCTAAATGTATAATCATCTCCACCACTCTCAGCATTCGAATCATCACTCGGCTTCAACAGATACCACGGCAATTTCACGCCTTTCCCGGCAACTCCATACCCTAATCTATACTTCTCATCCTCCGGCAACACAACCTTAGGTGCCTCCTCCTTCTTCTTCATCATCTTCATCTTCTTAAAAGCCCCTCTCTTATCATCTTCTTCACCATCAACACCAACTGTAACTGGATCAAAGATCTTGATACCTTCGAACAGATTGATGTGGTTCGATTTCGATTCCAATTTGGGTTCTGATTTCGATTCCAATTTGGGTTCCGATTTGGATTCCAATTCATCCGATTCTGCATCGGCTTGAGCTAAGGGGAGCAAGCCGCGGGCTTGTCGGAGCTGCTCGAGACGAAACTCGGCGTCTCGCTTTCGAGACTGCTCGCGCTTGAGCTGCTCTTCTTTAGCGGCGGCTTCTTCGTCTTTGCGGACTTTCTCTCTGTTATCGAAGTTGTAGACGTTCCATCGCTTCTGAGGAAGAATGTTTAGACCACCGTGACCTCCCATAGTTGGATGGTTTCAGATTTGGCGATAATCACAGTAATAAAACCCTATATTGTACAAATTACGAATTTATATATACATATATGTATATAGCTGTGGCTGCATAAAAAAACAAGCCCTAATTCAATTCAAGCTTGAGAAAGTAGGAATTCAATTACAATTAACAAAACCATATATATAGAGAGAGAGAGGTGTGGCTGCATAAAAAGCAAACCCTAATTCAATTGAAGCTTGACAAAATAGGAATTCAATTACCTGAGAAGAAATTCGGAGCAATCACTACAAAGGATCTGAAGTTAGAACAGATGAAACAAAACCATTGCGCAAGAGAAAACTAAAGAAGGCGGTGAATTTTGCGTGTGAAGCAGATGAAAGACGGAGCCCATTACCAGGGCCCAAGGACTAAAGGAGGCCCAATTTCGAGCAAATCAACGGTCCAAAAACAACCAGCAGTGGTTTGCTCATTAAAAAATATAATAACAATTAATTGGTAGACAAAAGTTTATTTATCAGTTTGGCGAAGGTTGTGGAATTCAAGGATGCAGTCTAGACGAACCTTAGAAGAAGTAATTAATCAGTATATGTGGACATTTGGTGGACCTAGCAATGAGATTTTTATGTAAAGACTTCTAAGCATTTGGTGGACCTCAACCATATAAATTATACAAGTTTTAAATTACATTACTATTTTCTATAGATTATAATATTATAAATATTATTGGATATAATGGTAAAAATAATTAAAACTTTTTCTTTCCTTTTCTCCTAATGAATATAGTAAATTATAAATTTATTCTCTTCTCGTCTCTTTTATCCAGCCAAATAAAAAGAAAGAATTACGGTAGAAATGTCTCATGCCCCCTTCTTCTCTCCCTTTCACTCAATTTTTTTCTTTCCTATCGTAGTCCATATCGCACTTTATGAAACCCATCACTTTTTGAGAAACGGTTTGATACGTTTTCTAATAATCAACGAAGTTGTAGTTGGAGAGTGTGTTTGGCATTACAAATCAACAAAGCTATAGCGTGTTCTACTATAAAAATTCATTTATAATTGTGATTGATGACACATAATTGTACTGCTTGAATATATAACTTTGGCAGGGCATTACTTGGTACAATTGGTCGAACATCTAACTCTTCGATCGGGCTAGATTAGGGCAAATACTCTAATTTAGTCTAGCCCAGTACTCTAATTTGTAGAACATCTAACTCTTCGATCGGGCTACACTACAATCCTTAGCAGCGGTTATAAAGCTTTTAACAAAAGTTTAAATTTGGTACTCTTGAATAATTGCACAGAGAGGTTATAAAGCTTTTAACAAAAGTTTAAATTTGGTACTTCTGAATAATTGCAGAGAGAGATAAAATCTATAGATGTTACACTTAAAAACACTGAACCAGCTTTCCTTATAATTGGAATTGGAAGAAAATAAATTTAAACTTTCAATTAAATTTTTTCCAATTTTTATTTCAAGACACAAATTCAGTGCTCTCAATGTAGCATGAAAGTATTTGTATTTCATCCCAACTTTTAAAAACCAGTACATCTTTAACAACCACAAACACTTCATTAGTATTTGGTCTGCATTACAACACAGCATACACAAATATAATGTTAAGAGACAGTATTGAGCATATACCAAAAACTATGTTGCATTGAAAATTAGGACCCTTTTCCTCACTTCGTTTACTACACCTACTACTACATGTGATTCTATAAACATATTAACTTCATTTACTGAGATATAATTGACAAACTGAACCCCCTTGAATGCCGGCCGGATTTGAAATTTCTTCGATCAATAATTCTTCAACCACAACCAGAATATGGAAGTATAACGGCACATGAAAAAGCAAAGGCCGATTCCCTAGCCTCCATGACCGCATTAGAAGATGAAGTCACTGATCTCAACACACTTGTTATTCTGGGTATGCTTCTTGACAATATATGCACTATCTTCCACGCCTGCATTTGAACAATTCATCCTGTGCCTGCAAGATTGACAGACCATAGCTAGATCTGTTATTTGGTATACTCGAGATACAAAAGAAAGATGAAGTTACAGTAGTTACCAAGCAAAGTGGTCCTCGCAGCATATAGAACCCCAGATGATTGGAAGTGCAGCTCCTTTCCTGTAAGCGAATATTCAATTTATTACACACATATAATAATAAAGGAATTCTCAAGAAGTTGGGATTTCTGAGTTGAGTCGAATAGAAAAAACGGATATATATATGTATGTATATATATGTCATACTCAACTGCATGTTTATATTGAAGGAAGATTTAACACCTACAGTCAATAGTAATCTTAAGATCTCTTTCACATCATCACATTTTCTTTACACTACTAAAACAAAGTTATTTTGAGCAATACTAGTACAATCCTAGGATAAAGTTCTTGAAATTTATACATATCAAACTCGAAATCAATCAGTTCAAAAGTGATACCAATTATTCAAAATCAAATCGTATGATTTATATGAAAACTCAACTGGGTTCATATACCAGATCATAATTCGTAATATCATGAGTGAGTCAGTGACAAAGTAACATAGTATCAGAACAGTCAATACCTCTAATGGCCAGTTTATAAACTACAACCAATTTTTTCACACATAGGAATAATGGTGTTGCTGGCCATCAGGCTTAAAAATACTTTAAAATGTACATTTATTATCAGAGGTTTGAAATCGGAATACAACACCCTCACCCCGATCTCTCTCTGATATTTCACTAGAACCAATATTTTGGCAAGCACTATTATGTCAATGAGCAACAGGCTCAAAGAAACCTTGTAGTTTTTGTCAAGGTCCAAATACAACACTGGCCTTCTTCTTAAGCATTCTCAGAGAACAATGGGCAAACCTATTTTACATATTCTAAATATTGAGAAGTAAAAAATAAAAATAAAAATTCAGAAAAAAACAGAAAACACCATAAGCAATATAGGTCACCAACCATGTTGCAGTATTCATATCATAGAACTTGTCAAAGGCTTTATCAAAACAGTATTGACAAGCCAAAAGATCATTGATATCAGTCACCTTGCACGTTGATTTACAGCATTTGACCTATGCAAATAACAAAATAGTCATTATTAAGCAAGTGAAACAATTACAAGAAGGACAAGCATCATACTACTTGGAATATCAAGTTAAATTAAGTGACAACCGTCTTTGTTTATGAGGAAATATCCATCAGTCCAAAATCTCAGGAGGAAGCAATGATATAACATAAATCCATCCACAATTATGTATCCTACCCTTGTTGTTCTATCCATTTTCAACAAGAGAGAGAAGATGCAACTTTTGAGGCTTCTTTGAAAGAAGACACAGAAAATTAAAGCAAAAGAAAGTAGAGACAATAAAGAGAAGCTAAAACAAGCATACCAGAAAAGTTTGTTAAATTGGTTAGAATTTATAACTAGCAGCATATAAATATTATAATCCACTTAGCGGAGTCATACCTTTCATGAATTTTTGTTTGCAAGTTCCTAATCAAGATGAGTTTCACCAATCACAGTTGCAGAGTGATGTGGATGACAAGTACAGAGCACGCTGCCTCCTCTGACATACAGTGCAGAGGTGTAAAGCTTACTTGGCTCACTTAGAGGAAATAATTTGATTAGCTACTTTATAAGTCAGTCTGTTTTCAAATTTAGTTGAAAAGAAAAGCGAGTTGTTCCTATCATAACTTTCAGTCATTGTGTTCATCCTTTGCATTTTATTTGAATCTTACAGTCTCACAATGTGGAGCAAAGCGGAGGCTTCAAAAAACTTGAGTTCAACTTGGCCATCCAAAAGAGAACTAGTGAACTTTAAATTTGAACTTCATAATCTACTTATTAAGTTTCAGACATTTGCTAATCATGAATTAACCACATAAGAAGATCACAATATTCTTTTCCTACTTGCAACAACCACTTGATGCTCAATGCATGTGACTCATCTCTTTCTTTGACCTAAAGTCCTCCAGATTCTTTAGAATCTCTTATACTGTCTTCCAAATAAAAGAGAATAAGAGAAGAATGATAAATATATTTTTGGCTTGTAAATTTAGAGTCACAAAAGCATACATATACCACATATCAACAAATGATCTAAAATCAAAGTATAACACATTTAAAGCTGATTACAATTTTTTTTTTGGTTATATTTGGCTTGTAAATTTAGAATCACGAAGCAAACATATACCACATATCAACAAATGATCTAATACCCAAGTATAACGCATTAAAAGATGATTACAATTTTTTTGGTTTAATAGCTGGCTCATGATCATATCCAAAATATTGCATATAATATTGAGCTGCAGCACTGATATTCTAATATTATGCTTGGCTACTATAAGTAACACTTTTGGATCGATGCTAAGAATCATAACCAAATCCCAATTCTCCTAACAGATGGTACAAAACAGACCATGTAAGTATAATTCTACATAATAAATACTAGAATATCCAACCAATATAGTACGCATTTGTCCATATAAAAGCAAGTTTACAGCCAAAAAAAGCTCACCAAACGCTTGAGCTTATAGGAGTAATATTGCCGATGGGAGGGGTGTGCCCTGATATGCTCGCTCAAATGGCCTGCACTGGAAATTATGATATAATTCAGTTCATAACCTGCTCTCGAGAAAACTTTACTTTACAAAAATTAATGAAGAATTTAGTATTAATTATATAAATATTGCGGACCAACTAGAATTAACAACTAATTCATCAGCAACAAGATGCTCAACCATAACTCCCCGCCTTCCCTCCCCCACCAACACCAAACAAAAGAAAAAGGACATTTTGTCAACACTATTTTAGCAGTATATTCCCTTGTAGCAAATGGAATTGTCTGCCAATTTGCTCTAAAATCCATTTTGGATAATCATCCAAACATGTCTGTCTTCGAACAAAACAAAAACAGTAGAGAATACCCCTTTCATCTCACTTGGAAACAGTAGATAATCCACAAGATATGAGTCAAAATATACCCTCACCAAATTTTCTTCATCTTCAGCATGATCACGAGCCTACCACCCAAACCCCCCAACTAACCAAATACGAAAATATGGGTTGAGAGCGTTTTAAGACCACCTATGCTATACACAAACAAAATATACATATATATATATATGTGATACACATATACATACACACACACACACACACACACACATATATATATGCACACATTTGGTATGTGCATCTTAATACAAAAATTAAAAATTAAAAATGATATAAATATATATAATTTTTTTGATAAGTTAATATAAATATTTGGAACATACAATTCCTTCTTTTTTTTCACTTGATTTGTATGAATAGAAAAAATAAAAAAGCAAAGATACTGACAAAAAGATAAATAATGTGACCTAATGGTAGTTCCTCATTAATAAGTTATAACTCATGTTCAAGTCTTCTCCATGCCAGTTTTTCAAGATTTTGTAAATAGTTGCAGGCAGACACAGGAGATTAATCAGGTGCCTGCCCGTATATGCCAAACTAGTCAAAAGTTATGAGAGAGAGAGAGATTCTGCAAGAATTCACATGCATATAGTGGGAGCATGAAATCCTTTATAGAAACTCAACAAAAATTTTCTTGTACAAGCATATGACACTGCTTCAAATGTAAATTAACTGAGACATATATGAGAAAATATATAAGCCCCTTCCCTCCCAAGTAGGAACAATGCCCCTGGATTTAATCACTAAAAATATCTTCCCACAGAGATTAGTTCACCAACTTATATCAAATCTACCATTCACACAATGTTAAACAACCAAAATTCCAAAAGTCCAAAAGTCAAGCCCACCACATAATGATAATTCTAGAGTACATATTTGTGAGAACATGACCAAGGGCAGAACAATCACCAAGAATATAAAGCCAATTAACTCAAAATATCGTTTGAACAGAATCAGAAAAAATAAAATGAAATGTAAGTATTCCTACTTACCTGTCACATAATGCCATGCTGCAGTCAAGGCATGTGGCCAAACTTGATGACCTATGGCAAGCATTGCACTTTGCAGTTAGCATGTTTTTGCCAATTTGGTGGCATCTGCAAACAATGAGAGACCAAAGAAGAAAAGACTGAGGGGCTAAGTTCCACTGTGAATTGCATATCACATGATCAATAGCATAAAAAATTTATAAAAAAAAAAAATTAAAAAAAAAATGGCAGATAAATACTGATTAACTATTCCAACTGCGGCCCCTTAAACTAGCTTGATTTAGAGTATGTGGAAACAGGAAGATTACATATAGCAGAACAGGCTTAATGGTAGATCACCTAAATCCTTGACTGTAGATGTCTGACCAAGATTTAAAGAAATCTAACATTATTCCAACTGATCTGGGAATATCTACACTACAGTAAGAGGAACGACTATTATCTTAGAATGAATTTTGGAAACAACAAGCTCTCTGCAACAACACCATGCAACAAGAACTTGGGAGCTTCAGTATTTGTTTCCTATTTTCTATCTCTTTCCACTCTCGTCATTTTTCTATCCTATATAGAGGAGCCTCCACCATTGTATTGTGTATGAGTTCAAAGAGTATTACAAAAGTGATGTAGCCATTTGGGCTCTTTGTGCTGTGGATGTAGGCCCTAGTGGCTGAACCATGTAACATTTGTGTGTTCTTGTTTCATTTCTCTCTTCACTTTTGTTTTATGCTTTACAACATAAATCATAATCAAAAGGTGGTGAGCAGTGAATAAAATTTAATAAAAGTCAATAAATAAGTCATTTGACATGTCAACTTATCATATTGTCCTTTGACTTGAGAGAAAAAAAAAGGGGGGGGATAATTTTTTAGCAAGATATTATTGCAAGGAATGTGGGAGAAAGAGCATCAAGATGAAAATAAAAATGCTACCAGGCAACAAGCATATAGTAAGAAATTATGAAAAATATATAATAAATAATAATGAGAAATATATTGTTGCACGGAATGTGGGAGAAAAAGTGTACCAAGATGAAAGTATAATGCTACCAGACCAGACAACAAAGATATATGTGTTAAGAAATTATGAAACCTTTTGTACAAGTCAAGAAGATCCCTGGATATGGAAGTGGAATTTTTCTGACCTAGTGCCACCTGTACAAAATAGAACTTTAATAAGCTATACTAAAGTATAGTTATAACACAAGTATTATGATGAATATCAAATGTGTGATTTTCATTCAAGTAAAATGAAAATCAATACCTGGTTATATGTTTCACCTATACAAAGGGATTGACGATCAGATGTCACCACCAAACAATCTTCAGGAAGGTGTCCAGGCCTCTGACATTTCCAACTACAATGGAAGGATCGATTATTATAGACAACATGTAGATACAACTGAGCATGATGAGGGTATATTCTGTGGTTAGAAAATCTTAGTATAGATGTTCACATTTAAAATCTCAATGAAAGCTCCTATGCACAGACTAGCCTAAGTATGATGATAGCAGAAGCCATCACTGACAAAATAAATGAATTTTTTTTTTTTTTTTTCGTTCACATAGCATCAGTTCAACCAGATTTTAATTCTTGTGCTTCAAAGCTTGTCTATATAATGGTACATAACTAAAATGTTTGATGATGAAATGTACCACTTGTAAGTGCAGAGGATGGATCTCTTCTTGGACCAGCAAAGACGGTCAGAATCCCAAGTATCCAATCCAAACTCAGGCATTTGCAATACACATTTATGTCCGGCTGGGTCTTCGACTGGACTCTGGTTGCTTAAGGGCTCCTACAAAAAATTATGATGGAAGGATTTAGATTTCAGAAAGTGGAAGAAAAGTGAGATGTTCTTGATATTGAACTCAAATTACATGGAAAGTGAAAAAATAAAAACAAAAAATACAAACCAACCTCAGGCAGCTTGAGGTTCTCCAAAAGCTCGGCTTTGCATTCCATACTGCAGATATCGTCCTCTGTCTATCATAATAGAAATAAAAACACAATACACAAGATCACTGGGTGTAGAAATGAAAAGAAACAAGATCTGAAGAAGATTTAAAATCAACTTAAATAACAGGTCAGATATCAGACCTCATTGCAAATATATTCTCCATACTTTCCACATACCACACAAACAGGTTCTCCTGGAACAGGAAAACGCTGCTCACTTCTCTTCTTAACCCGATCAACTTCATCCATGTTACCTAAAAGAAGTAAATAAAACAAATTGTGTAACAAGAGTCAAGGACTTATTTGTGATTGTCAGCCACATATCTGCATTGAAAGAATGAAGAGACGCCAAAACATACACATCTGTTCCCCAACTTAATTTCTATACTGTGAGCTCTAGGCTGGATAGTTTCATATAAACATTTGGCCAAGCAACAAAGCAGAAAGCTATATGCAGGTTCAACTCACTACGTAAAGCCTATGAGTTTGGTTTATGTTTGAACTGCCATATTAGCCAAGGAATGGGATAACTTGGGTTGATGAATCCAATCAAATCATACCATAACAGTTGGCATTGGAAAAGAATTAGTGTCAACAAGTAACTGCATGTACTTGTTATACATAAAACCAAGTTACAGTTGTTTGTAGTTTGTACTACAAGTCAACAACAAGACTCAAAATCTTTTTGTACTATATTAAGGTCCCACAAACCTTTAAGTATTATTTAATTAAATGCTCAATCTTTATTTTTTTAACATAATTAGTTTTTTCCTTATTTTGAAATATCCATTGGAAGGTTTCAGCTAGCTTAACTGCTATGTCTCTCTAGTCATACCAGGGACTTAAATAAATCATGCCTTATATTGTAAAATTGAGGAAAATTCCCAGTTGGACGAAAATGAAAAAAGGAATACTCTTAGGTGAAGGTTTTTGCAAACTTGCAGAGTTTTCTCCCGGCATAAATTCCCCAATGCAACAATTTACCAATCCATTTTAATGGTACCTGAATATTCATGCCTTATTATGTTCCTTCTCCTTCTAAAGTCAATGTGTACCAAACCTCCTTCTCCCATTTGTGATGTCCACAATCTTGTTATATGCACACAATGAAACCATGTCATTCACTCTCCTTCAACTAGTTATCTTTGGTTTCCTCAGTATAGTCACCCAAGCAAAACTTTAGCATTATATTGACTCGAAACATCGCCACCATATCAAAACATTGAACTTTATAAACTATTTGCCAGTGAAAAAAAAGAAAAAAAATCTATAAATAGATCTAAAGTATGACACTGGCATAACAAAAGCATAAAATGATGTACTGATATCTGAGATAAGCATCCAGAGACAAACCAAAATTAGGAGGATCCTGCTTTTCTTCACAATGATCCAGAGTTAAACTATAACCAGGAAGATTGTGCTTCTCTTTACATTCTGAGGAAGTACTTCTATCACCTGATTTTTAATGGAGATAATTTCAGATTATGATGAGCACAATTCCAATGCCAAAACACAACTTCTACATGTGAAAGTCGCATACGATACACCACTAAAAGGTAAAAGAAACAAATAAATCAGTATCTCATAAAATTACACGGGAAGAAAATATCTAAAGGCTAATTATATCTTATACCACTGAAGCTCAAGTAACAACAACAATTTTTTCTACACAACAATAACCAATATTTTCAATCATTAAAATGTGAAACAAACAAATAACAGTGTCCCGATAAAAACTTACTATCATACTCCACCAATTGCAACTCCGAATTTGAAGTTTCCTATAACATAATGAAACCCATAGTATTTAAAATAAAAATTGGCATGAATTAACATGTTAAATAAGTAGCAAAGCAGAACAATCGGCAGTACCAAAGCATCCACAGTAAATTGGTGATAAGCCAGAGATGAACTGAGTTCCTTCCTGCTCATACAAATAAAAATCAAGCAAAAAAACCCAGTATCAATAATTTAATGTAAAGTAACCAAACTAAATCTACCTGAACAAGCAAAGAGAACCATGTCTGAGCAACTTTATCAATAACAAGTTGAAATTTTGAAGCATAATATATGATTTAAAGAACTAATGGAATTCAAATTCACCTCCTTTTGTCAATGTAATCTTGGTGAGACATTGGTCCATCATTCTCTTCGACGATTCCATTGTTCGGATCTGGCAGTGGCCTTGGTTCTCTGCGGCGTTTACGATGCCGGATCCGGTCATTGCAGGGGACTGGTTCTTCAGCCGGAGGAGCGTTTCCGGTAGCAACATTATAAGCTGAAAATTAGGGCAAGTTAATTAACAAACAAAACCCTAAATTAGCATTAGAATAAAGAAGAGAGAGAAATTGAAAAGAGACCTCTAAGATTCTGAAGAACAGAGTTCAAATTGAAGTCTTTGTTGTACGCAAAGGAAGGGTTCTTGTAGAAATTCGTTCTCGTCCCCATTTGCTGTCTCTGTTCAAACTACAATTTAATTGTTAGTTTTAAACCAAAAACAAAGGTTCGGTTACATAACACCCAAGGGTTCCCAAATGTTCACACTTAAATTTTACACAACACTGTCTTTTCCAATTATTCCAGGGCACATCGGATTTAATACTCCTATATTAAAGTATGTCTTTTCCAATTAAGGTTACTGCTCAAAATAATTTTCTTGGAAATTTTTTTTTTTTTTTGAGGTAATGTCTATATATTTTGACGTGGCATAAATCTAGATCTTGATTGAGTTAATTGGGTGGGATTTGTTGAAAATTGATGAATAATTTTCTCTTTTCTTAAGTTTTAATATATTTTTTTTTTCATAAATATTTTACGATAATTAAATATGAAAAAATATAAAAAAAATATTTTAAGCTCAAACAAATCGAGCCTTAGGCTCCGTTTGTTTCGACTGAAAAATATTTTTGACAAAAGTGTATGTCGAGTTCATCGGGCAGGATATGTAATATAATTTGTCGAAAATTGATGAATAAATTATTTTTGTTAAATTTTAATATTTTTTTTCGTAAATATTTTACAACACCCAAACACCAAAAAAAATAAAAAATATATTTGATTAAAAATACTTTATGCCCAAACAGAGCCTTAAATTTAATTATTTTCTACTCAAATGGCTAATTTTGGGTGTAAAGACGGAGTCCCGTCTAGTTGCTATTTGCTAAGGCTTGCGCCCAACAAGCAAGGGTTAGACGAAGCCAGGAAATAGGCAAGGGTTAGGCCACGGCCAAAGCCCAGAAAAAGGCAACCTCGCGAGTGACAAGGACTATAAACAAGATGGTGATTGGCATGACCATAACAAGTTATGAGAATATAGTTGATTAAAATAGTGATTGGCATTACCATAACAAGATGACCCAAGAATTTACCCCACACATCAAATTCGAGGTCCAGAACCTACTAGACCAAAAAAAGAGTTGAAAGTAATTCGAGTTGCAATGCATCCCGTGCCCAAACAAAAAAATGGGACGATAACTTCACAAAGAGGTTGCAAAAGAACAAAAGAAGACAGCAACATATCTTTGGCCAAGAAATGAGTGATGCCATCCAATAGCTGATTAATTTAGTATTTTTAGCTTATGTTGGTCAGGGTATGTCGTAATCATTTAATGCTGTCAAGCATCATTTATTCAAATATAAAACAAAAAACAAGGGAAAAAGGTCAACCATGCACCACACGGTACATGTACATGGCCTGGCTTAAAATTTACATCAATGGTGAAGAGATTATAGAGTTCATATGCATTGAAATCGTTCTCATTAATGGAATTTTGTTTGCAATACTATACTTTTCTTCTCTATTCTACACACATATATATATATATATTTTGTCTTGAAATGTGAATTTTGTTAACACCCAAGGGAAAAAAAAAAAAAAAAAAAACTACCACAAAACCATCAAATCAAATATACAACAAAAAACAAGTGGAAAAGGTAAACCATACACCACACCTACATGCAATACATATACATGACCCGACTCAAAATTCACATCAATGGTGAAGAGATTTTTTTATGTGACGAAAAAATTGAGATTATAAGTTGTCAAACCCCAACCATTTGTCTTTCCGTTTAGTTTTTAGTTCTCTGTGTTCTATGCTACAATCATTTTATACGGTATTGCGACACACATTAAATTCGAGGTCCACAACCTACTAGACCAAAACAAGAGTTAAAAGTATGTCGAGTTGCAATGCATCCCGTGCCCAAACAAAAAATGGGACGATAACTTCACGAAGAGGTTGCTGAAGAACAAAAGAAGACAGCACATATCCTTGGCCAAGAAATAAGTGATGCCATCCAATAGCTGATTAATTTAGTATTTTTAGCTTATGTTGGTCATGGTATGTCGCAATCATTTAATGCTGTCATGCATCATATATTCCGAGAATATTCTCTATTTGTAATTTCTAATCATCTTCAGAAATGTAAAGCCAACTACATCCTGCCATCCAACAGAATTTCTTTCGTTTATGCTTGTTTTACTTGTGATATCGAGTTTCTCAGCTTTGATAGTGTCCACCACTAAAAGCTGTCTACAATTGAAGTATGATGATATGCACAAAACCATTTCGAGGGAAGAATCAGAGGAAACCGGAAAGTTTACAACTGAGAAACTGAAGGAGAATGTGGGAAAATATTGGATGATGGCAGAAACTGGTAGCCCTCAGTTTGTTATGGCACGGTCCATGGCCGGCTCCGCTTCAGGGGCAATTTGTTTTTTAGCTGCAGGCGCTTTAGCACCAGCAATCCTTAGGAAATGCTTTGGCATTTACCCGGATACATCATCGAAAGAAATGGGATCATCTTATAATTGGTCAACCTTTCCCATTTTTATAATTCAGTCTTCTGGGGTGGCAGTAGGTACCATTGCCCCAACATTTAGGTGGTTCACTGCCATAAGATTAAGGTGCTCGGAGAAAGGAGTCAAGAGCTATAAAACTGAGTTGAAAATAGAAAATTATTGGATTGAAAGGCTAGTAGGGTGGAAAGTGAGTCCCTTAGCTTTATGAGTCCGGGGTCAAAAATGCAGAAAACTCCTCCATATTGCAAAGAATATAATTTTGAACTTCTGTATAGGAGTTCAGATTGTGATTGTCTACTGTAGCAAATTAATTCTACTAATTTCTATTTTCTTCACAAGCTTGTTCTCCTCATTTGGGCACTTCTATAAGGTGTTAAAGCTAAGCCTCATATCTAAACATAATGCCTCAAACAATCACACACGATCAGAATCGGGGCCTGGTACAGAGTTGGAATTCAGCCGTTATGTTTTGTATCTTGAAGGCGAAGAGGAACTGCCCTTACAGATCATGAAGAAGAACATGAAAAGTACTGAACATTTTATTCAGAAGGGTGAAAAACAGCGGCCAAAATATTTGAAAGAGCTTTTACAAAAATCTGCTGCTTTCATGGGGGTGGCAACGTTTGACAGTGACCAAGTTCCATCTCTAGATTCTGAAGAACCTCCTAATTGTTGGTCTCTTCCGGTGGTTACCCTTACAAGTATTGCCATTGCACTTCCAAATATTGAAAATCACAAGGTGAAGCAGTTGCTTCAAAGTGTGAGTGAAGGCCTCTTTTATGTCAACCTTGTTGAAAAGTTCTTGAATACCAAAAGTGATATGTTGAACATCATAAATGCAGCAGACTGTGTGTGGTTAGGAGTTGATCTTTCCCGCAAATGGCTTGATGAAGATCTCCAAAAAATGGCTCATGAAGTAAAAAATGCAAAGGAGAGTCTTGAGAGACTTATTGACACAGCCAAAACTACTGTCATTAAATTCAAGGCAAACTTGAATGGAAATCAGGAGGAGAATCCTCTGAGCTGGCACATCAAGGCTATTGCTGCTAATTCATTGTACAGAATCGGCCAAACAATGTTGCTGGACCTCGAGGGTTGCAATAACCAGACAGATGAAGGACTATTCGATCAATTATCTATTATGATCGCGGATATATTGGGTGCCTGCCTCACCAATTTACCGTGCATTATAACTATGAAAAGCTTTTGCAGTGCCATAGAAGAGAGGGAGAAGAGTGTCCGGCATGCTGCTCAACTTCTTGGTGAAACTGAAGAGATTTTGAAAATCCTTCAACAATGTGAGCTTCCTTGTCTAAATCCTGATAAAGTGGCATACATTGATGAGTGGCGTACACTAATCAAGAAGGAGAATCCCTTGGCCTCACTGTCTTCATTCAATGATGGCAGATCTTCTGGTTCTAGTGAGTTGCACGTAACTGTTGAGTAGAAAATTTGGTTGAGAATGTACCAATAGATTATATTTCAATTCAGAAATTAGCATCAATCACATTCTATATAGCTTCCAGGAAAAATGGTAGAAATTGTAAGAAATTTTTTATTTAAAATAAGAAAAAAAGTAAAACAAAGGTTTTATTAAAATTACTTCTCCTTGGTAAACTTGTTACGGCTTAGCTGACAATATTGTTTGTATTAAGGAAAATTCCAGACCTGTTAACATAGATTGAATGATGCTTGCCCCAAGTCTCAAAAAGATTCTTTAAGTTGCGTTCGATTGTATGGAATTAGAGTCTTGAAATTAAAATTTGTGAAATTGGAGAAAAACAACTCACAAAATTGAACTTAAATTTTCTCCAATTCCATGCAACCGAACACAGCTTTAATATTTTTATCCCTTTGTCTCAAGTTATATTTTTATTTTATTTTTTCTCGAAAGGTAAGTTTTTCCTATTTTCTGGTGAAGTTAATTTTGTTGGAAGGCAACATCTCCTTGGCAAAAAAAATGAGTGGTGCCCTTCAACAGTTGATTATTCTATTCTATTGTTCCACGTAACACTGACTTTAAAATTCTAATTATCTTCAGAAACGTAAGCCAACCACACATCCTCCTAAGCTTCTAGGAAGATTGTCAGAGATTGTATCCATTCGCCAGAAAGTCAATTATATCTCTATATGCATGCAATACTCCATATATGTAGTAACAATCGCAGGACTAACAACTACAACCCAAACTTTTGCCTTCCCCAAGCAGAAAACAGAAAATGTACAACTTATGCAACGGTGACTTTAAGGACAACGTATGCTTGCCGATTTCGACCATCAAGGAATACTGTCAGCAGGAAGAACATTACGAAGCACCTTTGCCATGGATTGGCCTCTATGTTGCAGCAGCATCTCTAGTCTGCTCCCTTGCAATGGCTGCAGACGTCTTCCACGGGTTTAGCCACAGAAAACTCTGGTTTCCATGCAAATTTTTCACTCTCAACGCGGCTTCCTTGACATCATTAGGTGTAGCAATGAAGCTGCCACTGGATCTAAGTACCGAAATGCCAGCCCATGTAGATAAGCTGGCAAAAGTTACCAGCATTGCTTTCATGTCTACAGCGATGGGTAATTTTCTGCCTTCTTTAGCACTCATGAATGATAGAGAAATTTTCATGAACATAACAGCCTTGGCTATTCTCGTGTTCACCATTTTTGATAATATCTGCGTCCAATTATATACGCAAATAATATATTATTTTTTGAAAGAGCACCACATAGAAACCTCTATCATGCTTGTTTTGCTAGTGATATCGAGTTTTTCAGCTTTGACGGTTTCCACAGCTAAAAAGCATCTACAACAGAATTATGATGATCTGCACAAATGATTTTTAGTGAAGAACCAGAGGAAACTGAAAAGTTTACGATTGAGAAATTGAAAGAGATTGTTAAAAAGTATTGGATAATGGCAGAAACTAGTAGCCCACAGTACGTTATGGCTCGTTCCGTCACCTGCTATGCTTCAGGGGCAATCTGTTTGCTGGCTGCAGTCACTTTAGCAGAAGCAAACATCAGGCTGTGCAACGCATGGGGTTGGGACAACTGGGGAGGGGGATCGGCCAATCCTTATTTTCCGAATGAGTCTTGATCAAGTTATAAGTCGTCAACCTCCGCGATTCTTGTCATTCAGTCTTTTGGGGTGCTAGTAGGTACAATTGCTCCAACGTTTAGATGGTTCACCGCCATAAGAATAAGGTGCTCAGAGAAAAGAGTCAAGAGCTACAAAACTGAATTAAAAACAGAGTATTATTGGATTGAAAGGCTAGTAGAGTTGAGAGAGAGACCCTTAGCTTTACGAGTTCCGGGCCAAAAATGCAAAAAACTCGTTCGTAAAACGAAAAATCTAATTCTGAACTTCTTTATAAGAGTTCAGATTATGATTGTAATGGCCAGCAAATTAATTTTGCTCCTCTCTATTTTCTTAATGAGTTGGTTGATGTCATTTGGGCACTACTACAAGGTGTTAAAGCAGAAGTTTGGATGTAAACCTACTGTCTCAAACAACACGGAACCAGACTTGGGGTTTCGTACAAAGCTGGATCTTAGCCGTTATGTTTTGTATCTTGAAGGTGAGGAAGAACTGCCCTTACACATTATGAAGAACAATAGGGACGCAACCAATCATTTTATTCAGAAGGGTAAAAAGCAGCAACCAAAATATTTGAAAGAGCTTTTAGATCGATCTACTTCTTTTTATGGGGGTGGCAAAGTTTGATAGTAATCAAGTTCCACCTCTAGCTTCCGAAGAACCTCCCAATTGTTGGTCTCTTCCAGTGGTTACACTAACAAGTATTGCCATTGCACTTCCAAACAATGAAAATCACAAGGTGAGCTGGTTGCTTCGAAGCGTGAGAGAAGGCCTCTTGTATGTCAACCTTGTAGAAAAAATCTTGGATGTCAAAGGAGACTTGGCAAACATCAGAAGTGCTGCAGATATAGTATGGTTAGGAGTTGGTCTTTTTCACAAGTGGCTGGATGAAGATCTCCAAAAAATGGCTCTTGAAGGAAACAACTCCAAGAAAACTCTTGAGAAACTTACTGACAAAGGTAAAAACAATGTCATTGAGTTCAAGGCAAACACAAGCAGAGATATGAAGAAGAACCCTCTGAATTGGCCCATCAAGGCTATTGCTGCAAATTCTATGTACAGAATCAGCCAAACTGTGCTGCATTACCACAAAAGCAGCAATGATCAAGCTGATGAGACACTATTTGAGCAATTATCTATTATGATCGCAGATATATTGGGTGCTTGCCTCACCAACTTACCGCGTGTCATAACTATGGAATGCTTTTCCAGTGCCATAGAAAAGAGGGAGAAGAGCATCCTTCATGCTGCTCAACTTCTTGGTGAAACTGAAGAGATTTTGAAAATCCTTCAACAGAATGAGCTTCCCAGTCTGAACCCTGATAAAAAGGCTTATATTGATGAGTGGCGTGCATTAATGAGGCAGGAAAATTCCTTTGCTTCCACTTCTTCAATCAGTGATGGCACATCTTCTGTTTCAGGTGAGTTGCAGATGGCTATTGAGTAGAAGGCCTGCTTGAGAAAATGCTGACATATTATAATATAGTTGTATGGTACGTACTTGTTTAGGAGTTTTTTATTTATTTATTTATTTATTTATTTATTTATTTATTTTGTGTAGATATTATATGAAATCTCAGTTTCTATTGTGTAAAGTCTTTAATTAGCACAATTTGGTTAAGTGATAATACAGATATGTAGTATTCATGTGAGGAAGTTCATTATTTAGAAAAAGCAACTGTTCTTACATGCCACTCAAATATTAGTCATCTGAGCAATTGATTGCTCCTCATAATCTTAACCAGTAGCCAACATTTTCTCTACTTTTTAAGGAATGACAAGTGTGTTATGCCAATAAGCAATTATCAGAGGCTCCGAGTCCCTCAACTGTACACTTATATGTTGGGCATACAAAATCAAAATTGAGAGATTGGTCGAATCATAAATACTTAATTTGGAGACAAATCAATTGATCAGGATGGCATGAATTCCAAAATATGGAAAAAGATACTGTATATAAATAACAATCAAATCCGATAGCATCTTATGCGTCACATATCATTCTAGTTTTGGCTTCCAAAGGATGCTGGACTATATAAACATGTTAAAGTTTAGAATGGGACTTACCAAATTCCATATTTATTCAGACATCGAAGTCTTCTCTTGTAGATTACTCTGTTCCAAGGTGGCTGTCCTCTGCTACTGGTGGTGAGAATCTGTTGCTTTCTTTGGCTATCTTTGTGGACCTAATCCATGAGCTTCCTTTCCAAAACTTTTGAATAGTAAAAAAAAAATTATATATGTCAAACATGATCAATTTGATAATGTTTTCTTATCATTCATGGTAGTAGGTCAAAGTAGTACTCTCAGAGAAGAGGAGGTGTTACAGAAGTACTGTCGTCTTGTTGATCATTATCCGAAAGTTGAGGTGGTTCTAGGAGCATCTTTTTTTACTTTTTATTTTTTCACTTAAGAGCATCTTCAAATTTCAGAAAAAAAACCGGGCCAAACCTGGGAATTTCCACTTGGGGCCAAATAAATACTATAAAAAAAATTAAAAAATTGCATTTATATATATATAGCATTTTTTTTTACCGGAGAAGCCTTAATTTTAACGCGCACATTAAAGAATGTGGTATGGTGGTGAGGAAATAAATTGTATACTTTAATACAGTATAACAAATATGAAAAGATGCATACTCCATGTAAAATGTAAAGGGATAAAACGAAAATCTACGTACTCCCGGGTAAATACTAATACATTGGGTTATGATATTAATACACTTGGAAATATGTTGGTATACATTGAGTATTAATAACGTACAATATATGTTTCCGTGGACTCGAAGTAGTTGAATTATGTTATAATGTGGGCCAATTTTTACACGATGTTGATTTGAGAGCCAAGTTTCAAATATTCAAAACTCTCAACAATAATTGAAGAGCAATTGTGATAGAGTTGGGTCTAGTTCAATGAACCAGTAGTGAAAAGCTTCAATGAAAGTTCCAAAAAGTCATTCTCAGTTTTGGGACACGTACGCACTAAAAATGACTTGTCTGAGTTGTATGTCTCATCCAATACCAATCAATGAGGAAAAATACATAACAGTCAACATGAAAACTTATATGGAAATCTGGTAGAAATTGTAAGAATGTTTTATTTAAACATAAAGAAAAAAAAGTGAAACACACATCGATTAAAATTACTACTAATACGGGAAGAAGAAACAGGAAGAACAGTTCAAAGAATTTCATTACACATGGTGTTTATTCCACGGAACGACGTCTGTGTACGTTGCAGCAGCATATCTTGTCTGCTCCCTTGCAAGTTTCTTGGATAAAATTTTCACTCTTGATGCCGTCTAGCTGACACACACATAGATATATATATATATCACTATTTTGCCCCTTGTTATTTATCTATTTTTATTTTTGTTGGAATAAGTATTTATCTGAAGCAACATCTCCTTATCTTAAAAATGAGTGATGCCAACAAACAGCAGATTATTACCAAAGCTTCTAGGGAGATCGATAGAAATTGTATCCATTCGCCATAAAGTCAATAAAGTCCTTGGAATCTTGAAACGCAATGGGACAATATCTATATGCATTACTCAACATGAAAGCTAATTGAACATATATAACCAACAACTACAACCCATGCTCTTGCCTTTCCCTCGAAGAAGATAAGTAAAGCAAAAAAAGAAAAGAAAATGTCCATCTGCGAAGATTACTATTACTGGGTGGAGAAAGGGGATCCGATGACTAACCTCGACTACGGCAAATTAATGAATGCAATGCGGGAACGGCACCCCATGACTTGGAGAGACTTCCAGTATGTCAGCGAATCCTGCTGCATCGACTACAGAATCAAGAAGGAATATGAGCAATCAGAAACACCAATGCCATGGATCGGCATCTATGTTGCTGCAGCATCTCTAGTCTGCTCCCTTGCAATGGCTGCAGATGTCTTCCACGGTTTTCGCCACAGAAAACTGTGGTTTCCATGCAAATTTTTCACTCTCAATGCCGCTTCCTTGACATTGTTAGGAGTGGCAATGAAGCTGCCAGTGGATCTAAGTACCATCATGCCTGCCCATGTTGATAAGCTGGCGAAACTTACCAGCACCACTTTCATGTGTACAGCGATGGGTAATTTTCTGCCATCTTTAGCAACCATGAATGACACAGAAATTCTCATGAACATAACAGCCTTAGCTATTCTTGTGATCACCATTTTTGTTAATATCTGCATCCAGTTAAGTACCAAAGTAATAAATTATTTTTTCAAAGAGCATCACATTATAACGCAGTCTATCATGCTTGTTTTGCTTGCAATATCGAGTTTCTCAGCTTTGACGGTTTCCACCACCAAAAAGTCGTCTACAACAGAATTATGATGATATGCACAAAATGATTTCCATCAAAGAATCAGAGGAAACTGAAAAGCTTGCCATTGAGAAATTGAAAGAGAATGTAAAAAAATATTGGATGATGGCAGAATCTAGTAGCCCACAGTTTGTTATGGCTCGTTCCGTCACCTGCCATGCTTCAGGGGCAATCTGTTTTCTGGCTGCAGTCACTTTAGCAGAAGCCAACATCAGGCTGTGCAACGCGTGGGGATGGGGCAACTGGGGAGGGGGATCGGGAAATCCTTATTTTCCGAATGAGTCTCGATCAAGTTATAAGTCATCAACCTCGGTGATTCTTGTCATTCAGTCTTTTGGGGTGGTTGTAGGCACAATTGCCCCAGCATTTAGATGGTTCACTGCCATAAGATTAAGGTGCTCCGAGAAAAGAGTCAAGAGCTACAAAACTGAGTTGAAAACAGAGTATTACTGGATTGAAAGGCTAGTAGAGTCGAGAGATAGACCCTTAGCTTTATGTGTTCCAGGCCAAAAATGCAGAAAACTCGTTCATAAAACGAAGAATCTAATTCTGAACTTCTTTATAAGAGTTCAGGTTATGATTGTAATGGCCAGCAAACTAATTTTGCTCCTCTCCATTTTCTTAATAAGTCCATTGATGTCATTTGGGCACTACTACAAGGGGTTAAAGCAGAAGCTCGGATGTAAACCTACTGTCTCAAACAATCACACGGAACCAGACTTGGGGCTTGGTACAAAGCTGGATCTTAGCCATTATGTTTTGTATCTTGAAGGTGAGGAGGAACTGCCCTTATATTTTTTGAAGAACAATAGGGATGCAACCAATCATTTTATTCAGAAGGGTAAAAAGCAGCAACCAAAATATTTGAAAGAGCTTTTAGATCGATCTACTTCTTTTATGGGGGTGGCAAAGTTTGATAGTAACCAAGTTCCATCTCTAGCTTCCGAAGAACCTCCCAATTGTTGGTCTCTTCCAGTGGTTACACTAACAAGTATTGCCATTGCACTTCCAAACAATGAAAATCACAAGGTGAGCTGGTTGCTTCGAAGCGTGAGAGAAGGCCTCTTGTATGTCAACCAAGTAGAAAAAATCTTGGATGTCACAGGAGACTTGGCAAACATTAGAAGTGCTGCAGATATAGTATGGTTAGGAGTTGATCTTTTTCACAAGTGGCTGGATGAAGATCTCCAAAAAATGGCTCTTGAAGGAAACAACTCCAAGAAAACTCTTGAGAAACTTGCTGACATGGGTAAAAACAATGTCATTGAGTTCAAGGCAAACACAAGCAGAGATATGAAGAAGAACCCTCTGAATTGGCCCATCAAGGCTATTGCTGCAAATTCTATGTACAGAATCAGCCAAACTGTGCTGCATGACCGCGAAGGCAGCAATGATCAAGCTGATGAGACACTGTTTGAGCAATTATCTATTATGATCGCGGATATATTGGGTGCTTGCCTCACCAACTTACCGCGTGTCATAACTATGAAATGCTTTTCCAGTGCCATAGAAAAGAGGGAGAAGAGTGTCCTTCATGCTGCTCAACTTCTTGGTGAAACTGAAGAGATTTTGAAAACCCTTCAACAGCATGAGCTTCCCAGTCTGAACCCTGATAAAGTGGCTTATATTGAAGAGTGGCGTGCATTAATGAGGCAGGAAAATTCCCTGGCTTTCACTTCTTCAATCAGTGATGGCACATCTTCTGTTTCAGGTGAATTGCAGATAGCTATTGAGTAGAACGCCTGCTTGAGAAAATACTGACATATTATAATATAGTTGTATGGTTTGTATTTATATTAAATCTCAGTTTCTAATGTGTAAAGCCTTTAATTAGGACAGTTTGGTTAAGTGATAAAACAGATATGTAGTATTCATATGAGGAAGTTCATTATTTAGAAATCAAATTGCTCTTGCATGCCAATCAAATATTAGTCATCTGAGCAATTGATTAATCCTCATAATCTTAACCAGTAGCCAACATTTTCTCTATTTTTTAAGGAATGACAAGTGTGTTATGTCAATAAGCAATTATCAGAAGCTCCGAGTCCCTCAACTGTACACTTATTTGTTGGGCATACAAAATCAAAATTGTGAGATTGGTCGAATCATAAATACTTAATTTGGAGACAATCAATTGATCAGGACGGCATGAATTCCAAAATAGGGAAAAGGATAATGTGTATATATATATATATATATAAAACAATCAAATCCGATAGCATCTTATGCGTCACATATCATTCTAGTTTTGACTTCCAAAGGATGCTGGACTATATAAACATGTTAAAGTTTAGAATGGGACTTACCAAACTCCATATATATTCAGACATTGAAATCTTCTCTTGTAGATTACTCTGTTCCAAGGTGGCTGTCCTCTGCTACTAGTGGTGAGAAACTGTTGCTTTCTTTGGCTAAGCTATGTGGACCTATTCCATGAGCTGCCTTTCCATCTATTGCTGTTGCGTTTGACCTTCAGCCGAACGACGCATGTGATTCTGCCCAATTCTTCGAGTCACTACCTATGTGGGTTAAATATAGGAAGAACAATTCAATTCAATGCTGAAATGGCCGCGACACGAAAAGTCCATTAGCTTCTATTATTGTTACTGGGAGTGGAAATTGAAACAACAAATCAATTCAATTCAATGAAACAAAGTTTCAAGATGTTATTTCAAGATTTGGTCCACGGAACTAAATCATAAATAGTAGCATTGGCAGAACCAATAACCACAATCATATCGATCTCTAGCCATTGCCTCTCTCGGGACTCCCTCGCTAAAAATGAGACCTGATTATTGAAAGAGGCATTGGAGGAAATAAAAAACAAAGCACCGATGCCAATATGTTGCAGCAGCATCTCTAATCTGCTCCATTTCATTGGTTGCTGATGCCTTCCGTGCGTTCTGCCACCAAAAACGTTGGTTCCCATGCAAACATTTCATTCTCAAGGCCGCGTCCCCGACATTTTTAGCCGTAGCAATGAAGCTGCCACTGGATCTAACTGTCAACATGCTGGGCAAAATGGATCAGCTGGTCAAACTCTGCAAAACCATTTTTGATGTCTACAAGAATGGGTAATTTAATGCCATCTCTAGGCTCCATACAAGACAAAGAAATTATCATGAGCATAACATCTTTGGCTCTTCTTGTAATCACCATTCTTGTGAACGTCTGCATCCAATTAGTTACTGGACTAGTAAATAATTTTCTGAGAATAGAACATATTGCAGTAACATTTTTCATGCTTGTTTTGCTTGTAATATTAAGTTTCTCACTTTGACGGTCCCAACCACTAAAAAATATAAACAACTGAAATACGGTGATATGCATAAAATTGCTTCAAGAGATGAATCGGATGAATTTGGAAAGTTCACTGTCAGTAAGCTGAAAGAGGAAGTGAAAAAATATCGGATTATGGCAAAACGGGTAACCCTCAATTTGTGATGGCACGTTCTGTAACCTGTTCTGCTTCAGGGGCAATTTATTTCATAATTACTGTCATTTTAGCAGAAGCATAGTTGAAGATCTATTTGATGTACGCTGATCCCTACGAATTCCATTCAGATTATAAGCGGTCAATCTTGTTCATTCTTGTGATTCAGACTGTTGGGGTTGGATTAGGTATAATTGCCCCATTATTTAGATGGTTTATTGCCATGAAATCCAAGTGCTCAGTAAGAAGAGGCAAGAGCTACAAATCTGAGTTGAAAATAGAGAATTACTGGATTGAAAGGCAGGTAGGGTGGAGAGAAAGTCCCTTAGTTTTATGTATTGAAGACCAAAAAGGCAGAAAACTTATTCACAACACATCAAATATAGTTTATGGACTTCTGTATTAGAATTCAAATTGTGATTGTCATAGCTAGCAAATCAGTTCTACTCATCTCCAATTTCTTATTAAGCCCGTTGTTGTCATGTTCTCACTATGCCTCAAAGAATTGCACAAGATCAGAATCGAAACTTGGTACAAAGCTGGACCTTAGCTGTTTTGTTCTGTATCTTGACGGTGAGGAGGAACTGCACCTACAGATCATGAAGAAAAATGGGGATTCTACAGATCATTTGATTCATACGGGTAAAAAGCAGCAGCCTAAATATCTTTAAAAGCTTTTAGGGAAATCTACCAGTTTCAAGGGGGTGGCAAAGTTTGAAAACCACCAAATTCCATCTTTAGATCTCCTAATTGTTGTACTCTACCTTTGGTTACACTAACAATTGTTGCCATGGCACTTCCTAACATCGAAAATCGGAAGATGGGTCAGTTGCACAAAAGCATGAGTGAAGGCCTCTTACATGTCAGCCTTGTAGAAATCTCCTTGATTCCAAAACTGACTTGGTAAATATGAAAAATGATTTAGGGAAAAAAAAAATTGCAAGAGAGAGAGTGTGGTTAGGGGTTGATCCTTTCTGCAAGTGGCTAGATGAAGATCTCCGCTTAAAGAAGACTCTTGAGAGACTTGCTGACAAAGCGAAAAGTATTGTAATGGAATTCAAGGCAAACATGAATGGGAAAATGAAGGATAACCCTTTGAACTGGCCCATTAAGGTTATTGCTGCTAATTCAAACTCTTGCTGCTAGACCATGAAGGAAGCAAAGACCAGGCAGATCACGAAAGTTTATTCTAGCAATTATCCTGATGAAGGAGCTTATATTGAAGAGTGGCGCAGAAAAATCCATTGACATCTCTCTCTTCTACATCCAACAACAACACACCTTCCTGTTCTGGTGAATTGCAAATAACTATTGAATAATAGGAGCAGGAGGCAGGTATGTAAGTAACGTTATCATACAAGTTTTCTTATATACGAGTATCATGCATATGAATCTCAGCATTCAGATGCGTAAAACCTATAATTCACATAGGTATTTTCTGTTCATAGCCATATTTTATTCATACACATTGACATTCACTGTTTAAATATAATCTACATTTTCTGGATTTATACATAGTCGCCATTCATCCATGGCACTCAAATTTTAGTATCTTGACCAGCATTTTTCCATGATAATCTTAACAGATAGACAGCCAACTTCAATTCCAATTTGTCTCGACCGTTGGGTAATTAAGTGACACTGGCGTAACAATCGCCAGTACCAAAGCATCCCCAGATAATGGCTGATAAGTCAGAGATGAACTGACTTCCTTAATCCTTAGTGCTCGTACAAATAAAAATTATACTAAAAAACCAGGTATCAATAATTTAATGTCAAGTAACCAAACTAAATCTACCAGAACAAGCACAAGAGAACCATGTCTGAGCACCTTTATCAATCACAAGTTGAAAATTCAAGCTTAATATATGATTTAAAGAATTAATGGAATTCAAATTCACCTCCTTTCTCTGGTGAGAATCATTCTCCTCGATTTCATTGTTCCAATCCGGCAGTGGTTGTCTGCTGCGTTCAAAATGTACAGTCCTGTCATTTCTGGGGGATTGGTTCTTCGGTCTGAGGAGTGCTTCCAGGAGCAACATTATAAGCTGAAAATTAGTACAAGAGAGTTAACAAGCAAAACCCTAAATTAAGATTAGAATAAAGGGGGAGAGAGAAATTGAGAGGAGACCTCCGAGTTCTGAAGAACAGAGTTCAAATTGAAGTCATTGTTGTATGCACCAAAAAAAAAAAAAAGGGTTTTCGTAAACAACGAGGATTTGACCTTCCCAAGCTGTGGTTGGTTAGTAATAGTGGTTAATGGTGGGAAAAACTTTAATGGACAATTTGTTGATGACATAATATCATTCATTAAATAAATTCATAGAATCACTAAAATAAATATGATGATTATATATAATTGGTTGATGAAACTAATTAAAAAAAACACAGAAATCACATAATTTCGTACACTTTTTTTTAATCATTTTAATTGATTATATATAAATTATAAGAAAGTAAAGTTGTTAGGTCGAAGAACTCTCTTTAATGGTTACATTTCCTTTCACGGAAGCCAAGAAAAAAGATTGAAAAATAACATCAGCTACAGTGATTCTCTACTCACCAATTACTTATAGTGATAGCTACTTACCTTCCCTTATTCGATCTGTGGCCTTTGGCGCTCTTCTTTATAGCGATTCCGTTAGATTCACCATCCCCAATTTTAGGATTAGGGTTATATTGTACTCCTTGTTTATATCTCTCTCTATATATATGCACAGAGTACAAGAACATGGATAGACACAAAGAAGACCGCTACAGCGATTACTCCGACTCTCGTCGGAGCACGCACTCTGCCACGTCATGTCGGTCCGTGGATTACCCTGTCCCTCGCCATGACCGGAACTACGAAAATAATTACGGCGGTAGTTCCTCCGGCGATGGCCACAGCCACCTCCGCCACCACCACAACAACAACAACAATTCCAACGGCGAACAGAATGACTCAATTGGTTCTGGCGGAGACGGCGACTTTGCTTCTCGTCAATTTTCTCTTGCCGGACGGAAGAGGCATTTCTCCCCAGGTGCGATATCGTATCATCATCCTTCCTCTAATGCCGTTTAAAGCGTAGTCAATGACAAACATTCTGAGTGAAGATTACAGTTTTAGATTTACGTTATTGGCCAATTAATACGAATTTCTTAAATTTACTGATATATGGTAGATGTTTTACATTCAATTCCCGGTATATTGGTTTTGAGTTGCTTGGTATTCCCGGTAGAATTCATTCTATTTTTGTTGTCTATCTCCATCATTGGGCTGCAACATGGGCAGGTCAACCGAAACCAACGCCCAGTCTGATTTTTCAGACTTAGAACAACTATGTTTATAATTAGGCTTGGCTTGTAAAACCTTAACCCGAACTTAATTAAGGTTGTCCTTCCGTCCAAAAGAAACTCTCTTTTTGGAAATCCAACATTTTAACACAATAATTTTTATTTTATTTTTATTATATTAATAGTGAAAGTTTCTTGCAAAAAATTATTACTCTTATATATAATATATTTAAAATATATATATATAATAGTCCTTCCGTCCCAAGCATGGTAATCCCTAGATATGATTTAAGTGTAAAAAAGACAATCAATCACTAAAAAAACATATCCAACAGTGGTGTGGATAATTTTTTTTCTCACCGGGGAGCAATACATCATTTCTGTTATATATAATATTGAAAGTATGATCACATTTTTTCAACTTCATTTGTTTAAATCTTAATTTACTGTATTTTAACACTAAAGAATTAATTTCAATTTGTTTCTAACCTGAAATCTCAACCGAGTTGCAAACCGGTGTTGAAAATTTCAAGGATGGTTTGAGCTCGGGTTGAGTAATTTGGGTTGGAGGTCGGGTTATGATTGGGTTAGTGCTAACATTTTTTTGGTTGAGTTGGCACCCTTCGAGTTGCAACCCTACTCCATGACATGTTTTCATTTGAAAAAAATAAGATTACTGAAATTACAATTTTCTTAGATTATGTTGATGGTGGCAGTTACGTGAAACTCTATGTTGGAGCCATTCCAAGAACAGCAAGGGAAGAAAATGTAAGTTGTTTGTACAGTTTAGCCATCAACATTTGAACAATTCCATTATATTTGATTTGTTTAATTTTTTTTCACTATAAGTAAAAGTTCTAGTATATCAATTATTTACTTTTTACTTTTCTTCTCTTAATCCCCTCCACCTGTGGGGCCCTCAGTTGGAAAATACATGCTTAAACATATAATGACCTTTTGCAATTGGTGATTAGTATAAGCTTCTTTAATTTTTATTTATTTATTGCTAATTTAAACCATTGCATTTAATGTCTTTTTATATGAATATATTTGCTTGCATACACTTTTACATGCATACCCCTTGTTTCGCTTGGTGGGTGGGGATTGGGGTAAGGTCCAAAACCGTATGATTGCATCATTGAACAATACTTTTTTCCTTTCATACAGATGATGTGTCATTATCTTATTGGATCACATGGCCTTGTATAACATTAAAATTTTTTATGTGAATGTAATTGATACCAAATCTACTAATATGGTCCAATAATATCATGACACGTTAGCTGAATGGTTCTTCCTCATGCATAAGGAGCAAGAAATTGTTCTTAGTCACGGGGACACGTTAGCTGAATGGTTTTTTCATTCCTTTATTTCTAACAGGGAAAATTAGGTGTAGCACCCATTTGTGAGAAAGTTAGAGAGAGAGGACTTTGATGGTTTGGTCAAATACATGGAGAGCCAGAGATGTGATGGTCCAACAAGAAAAACTAGTTGTAATAGGAGGTAAGAGATGGACAGGGCGACCAAAAATAACCTGGGAAGAGGTTATTAAAAATAAAAATACAGTAGGTGAAATAACATGTAATAGGAAAGATTGGAGAGAGAGAATTCTGTGGTTAACGTAAGGATGATGATGACAATGGATTACTTTTTCATACTGATGGTATTTGTGATGTCTTATTGCTTGTCAAAACTTCTATTGCCTCATTTCAATATTGGTAATTGATCCTTTCATGTTAGATTCGCACCTTATTTGGAGACTATGGAAATGTTATTGAAGTTGTTCTACTCAAGGATAAGAGAACTGGCCAACAACAAGGTATGTTGAAATACTCTCTTTCACTAATTGATTGTGATGAATACTAGTGTCTTTTCTGCACAATCAATTATCATATGATTGGGATTTTGTGTATGTGTTTTTGTTTTTGTTTTGTTTTATTTATTTATTTTTATTTTTATTATATATATATTATCTATGAGTGTCCAAAAGGGCAGGTTCTAGTGGATTTGGGTAACGTTATTAACTGCTCAGATGGACATCTCAAACCGAAACCTTATGGCAAAACTGAAACTATGATCACTTCATTTCAGTACCCCCCAACACACACACACACACACACACACAAGGAAAAGGTGAACATACAAAAGAATAAAACATTGTATTGTGTCCTATCATTTTAGCGTTGATCTCCTTTTTTTGGGTAAGTAAGTGAATCTCCCATCCTTCTTAGAGTTAACAGTGGAACCCTGAAGAGATCCGCCTAACCTGAATTGATGCATTTAGATAGCAAAAATTAGGAAAATGGAATGGGAGGGGAGGGAGAGAGGGAGAGAAGAGATAGGCATGAATTTCTGGTGTGCTGTGGAAATAAGTTTGGGTTTTATGTTATCTTTTTTGATAATTATTCAAGTGAGTTTACACAAATCCTTATAGTTTAGGTTGTTATAAATTTATATACCTATCTCCTCACACAAACTTTCAGGGTTCAAGTCATTTGTGGAATGAAGTGACTATATTTTTATGAAATATCTATGAAATTATCTTACTGTGGTCCATACACAGATTGTGTGCAACTGCTGAAAGTATGGGTGAGGTATCCAAGGATACAACCCAACGAGTTCTGATTTCCAATTCACTCTGATCCACTTATGATAGATTTGTTTCAAGTAACTTGATCACAAGCTGCACGCATGTCATTATTAGTTGAACCTACGTGTTTTTTGGTGGACTTGGGCGGCACGTCGGGATCAAACTTGCTATCCCTATGTTTATCCATGTGAAGCATTTGTACAATTGGCATCTAATTTCATTTACTAATCCTTTGTTACAATTGTAATGCACCATTATCTATATTATTCTTTAGGTTTTGTATTTTTTATTTTATTCAAGCAGTGAACTTTTCCCTTATTTGAGTGGTGAAAATTATCTTCTTCTTCTTTCTTTTCTTTTCTTTTCTTTTCCTTTTTTTATTTTTATTTTTTTATTTTTAATTATGAAATGAGATGGTTTCTGAGTCTCTTTGTTGATCAAAATTTTTCCACTTGTTAAACTTCTTGTCCTCACAGAGCTCCTGTTGAACCTACAGAAATCTAGTTCTTATATACGCGAATTTAGGTTTATAGATCTTTACTTGTTGCTCTGTTGTCAATGATTAGAATTCTGCTACTAAAAATTGTAGGATATATGTCAGCATCTCCACTCCTTAAGAAAACCAGAAGATAAAAGAAGAAAAAAGAAAGAAAACGAAAAAGCACAATAGGGGGTATTTGTCAAATTTGGCCTCTCTCTGAATTTCTACGTGCTGTAATCTTATTTGAAGCTTTAGCTATATTGTTGTGGGTTATTTGATAGAGTTCTTTGTTGACTGAACACCATGTGTGCATTTTTACATGCCCTTTCTTTTTTTTCTTCTTCTCCTTTCTGTTTTTTTTTTTTTTTTTTACCCTCAAGAAACTCACACACCCACTTGCCCCTATGAGGACTTGAACCATCACCTCTCACTTTGGAAGGTCATTCTGCGAATTGGTAAATACCGTATTCTTCACATCATTCAAAGTCTACTTTTAACTTTCTATTACTAGTTGTTAAAATTGTAAGATGCAATGAATTGCTTGTGATATAAGCATTACATTTAGCACTTACACAAGAAATGATCTTTTCAGGTGATTTTTTCTTTTTCCCTCCAGCAGTCTTATTTTCATTTTTTTTATACACACTTGTACATTTTATTGTGCTCACAGCAAATATATAGTATGACCACAAATCATTTGCTATCAACAATTGTCTAATGGAATTAGCATGTAAAATGCTTACTCCTACAGAAAGTTGTTTTGTAAAATATGCAACTGTAGAGGAAGCTGACCGGGCTATTGGAGAATTGCACAATCAATTTATTTGTCCTGGGGTAAGAGTGTTCTAGCTTTTGTTCTACTGATTATTTAACCAGCATTTCATTATTTGAAGTATCTATTTCTTCCAGGGAGAGGTCCCTATCAAAGTTAGATATGCTGAAGGAGAACGGGAACGCCTTGGTAATTGTCCCACACTTTAAATGTATTTTTTATGTATTTTTTTAAAATTTTATTCAATTTTTGTAATTGTATATATCATTAATATTTAAGCACGCACTGAGCCTTCTTTTGCCCAAGTTCTGAAGTCAGATTGAAAGTCATTGGTCACTATTCACGTACATCTGGGTTACATTTGCATCCTCAATTGCACAGTCACATTTTGTCCATTTTTTTTTTTTTACCTTGGCAAGAAATAGACACAGACACCCACTTTGCCCCTAAGGGGGCTTGTACCCTTGACCTTCTACTTTGAAAGGTGACGAAGTACCACTAGTGAGGGAGAACATGGCCCCGAGAGCAGCATCTACTATTGGAGACTTGGGAAGATGGATTGAATAGGGATTTTTTTCCATCTATTATTACTATTATTATTACAGCCCAGTAAACTCTACCAGAATACAGCTTGACCTGGATCTAGTTCAGGAAATATATTTAGCAGGTTTTTTTTGGGTCCATACTCCATACTGGGTTGCTTGTCTTGGCCCATTCCAGTATTACTCTAGCCCAACCCAGAATAACATCCAGTTGTTTGGTTACGAGTACAGAGTCATGCTAGCTCTAGAATCAGTCCAGAACTGAACCAGATAAGCAGAGTTCTTCAGTGAGCCAGTTCAAAAAAAAAAAAAAGAAGAGAAAAGACAAGAATATTTATTTCAATTATTGGATCCATTTTTCATAGCCTTCAACACTTGGGAAAAGGTACATATACTGCAGTTAAAAATGTTGATTATTACTTTTATTTATTTGGTTAGTTTAGAAATTTGCAAAAAGGTCCATTAAACCCATTTATTTGCATCAATAATTCCTTTATTCCTTCCCATTTCCTATTGTATTTTGTCTTTTCTTTCACCATATCCATTTTATTTTAGTACCTATTTTCACTTGAAATTTGCATCTAAATACATACAACCAATGCATGAATTTTTGCATAATTACTTTAATTGCATTTGGATTTCTTGCTTGTGCATTGTGCTAGTTTATAAGTTGGTTTACTGATTTCAGTTTTGAGTCCCATATCAACATTATCCTTAACCATTCTCATGCCTATACCATCCTCTTCATTATATCTGCACTAAAACAAAGAGGCCATACTATTATAGTAATTTTTAATTTTCAGATGGTTTAGTAATTTAGAATTGTTTTTTGTCGTAGGATTTTATTAGGGTTATCCTTGATGCCTATTTATATATGGGTTGATATATTGTGAAGACACCTTTTGATGATTAATTATTGAACATGTTGGGATTACAATGATTTCTTCCTCCAGATTCTTCTTATCTTTTTTCTCTCTTCTTCTCTCATTTCATTCTCTCTCTACATTTTGATATCGAATCATCCCTACCTTTCCTACATCAACTAGGCTACGGCCCTTGGTGGTCATGTTTTATCAATTTGTCTTTTCTTTTCTTCTGGAGATATGTAAGAGTATATGATACAAATATACATTGTTCAAAATTGCAAAATTATATTTTTCTAATACCTTTTCATAATAAATGGTGAGATTTGTAGCAACTTTAAGGAAAAGTGGAAGGATAAAAAAACTAATGCTACGTTTGATACGCTAGAATGGAATTGAATGCAAGTGAGAATGGAATTGAATGCAAGTGAGAATGGAATGAAAATGAGAATGAAATGGAATGGTCATTCTCATTCAGCTGTTTGGTTGAAATATAAAATGATGTAGAAATGGAAAGATCATCACCATTCTAGTGTTTGGTTGGACCAATTTAAAACCTCGAAAGGAATGAATTTCAAAATGAATTCTCCAAAATAACCCTCTCAGTGACAAATAAATTTCTTTTTTTTGATAAGTCAGTGACAAATAAATTAAACTAACAATATAGCATTCTTATATAATATTTTAAAAAGAAATGGTGGTGGAAGGCAGTAGTGGTGGAGGTGGCTCTGGTGGAAGGCGAAGTCGGTGGCGGTGGAAGGCAGTGGCTGCAGTAGTGGTGGTGGAAGGCGGGGTGTAGGTGGTGGCGGTGGCGTTGGTGGAAGGTGGTGGTCGCGTTGGTGGAAGGTGGTGGTGGTGTAAGGTGGCAGTGGTGTAGGTGGTGGAAGGCGGCGGCGGAAAGCTGCAAGCTGAGCACCTATAAAAATATTGCTTTTATTTTAATGAAGAAACTGAAGAATCATTTGACAATTGGCGACCAAATCACCATTATAAAATAATGGTTGGATTCTTGTTGGTGAGGGAACCTAATATCCCATATAAAATTGAGGAAAATGACCAACTTACAACATTAATGTTTGTTAGACGTATATAAAAATACAGCACAATAATGGTGGCTCTCTGATACTGGTGACAAGCATTCTTTTTATTTTTAATTTTTTCTAATCTGTTTTATATTAGTTCTGTTCTTCCAATTTTGACGTATTTGGAAGTCTGCTTAATATTTGGGTTGCATGCTTTAAAGGAAAAGTTATTACCTGCATGTGCTGGCTTGTTTCCACGATGATGTTTCTGCCATTTTAGTTTACTCTCTCACCCTGGTTTTTCTTTTTTGGTTGTGGTAGGGGCTGTTGGGACACATGTTTGCAAATTGTACGTTGGCTGCCTGAATAAGCAAGCTTCAAAAAGGGAAATTGAAGAAGTATGTTCCATGTTATTACTTCCTAAATTTACCCATTTAAATGAAATAAAAAGGAAATTATAATTCTTTCTTTCTTGCAGCATATGTGCAGTGTGTATGGGTAGCATATATTGATATTGGCTGTCATTCATGTTGCTTATGTGTAACATGCATATATAGTTGCATTTGGGGTGCACTTCTCTGTCTGGGGAATAAGTAGCATGCAAGCCTCCTTTGGAATGTGATAAATAGTAGATATTTTTCCTCCATTCAAATTGGCACTGCAGCAAATTGCTGACTAACAGCAATCTGAGAACAAGAAATCTATCAATGTGGTGCAAATTTAAATTGATTGTGCTTTTGATGATTGGCCAATGCATATTATTAAACTTTGCCTGGACATTAGGGGTAATTGTCCAACTATTAGTTCAACTGCTCGGACCATGCCATTAAAAAATAAATACATTAAATTACAAAAAAGATGTTTAAAGAATAGAGTTGGAAGGAGTTAGTTTGCGGATTATTATATTTATGTATATATATTAGAGAAAATGCATATTTATACTTTGGGATATTATTTTTTATATTTTCATATCCATATAATTTAGTATTCGGTTAACTGGTTCTCTCGTTCAACAGGCAGTGCCGGGCCTTGTTAATCAACTGTTGATCAATTCTTTTAGTAATATAGTTTTCGAGTCAGTCTTATATGAGCTAAAAGTGCTAGCCGAGAGCACAAGGCTCCTGCCATTGCAGGGTCTGAAGAGTCAAGAGTGTCAGATATATGCAGCCTTACCTCCACATGCGGAGAGGCTATTTTCTAATTTTGAACTTGTGACTTCTAAGTCACAATGGAGCAATGTTCTCGTTGCGCCAAGTACTTCCCTCGGAGAGGCCTTATACATGCTTTATGCCATAATTAACATTATGCTGAAATGAACTAAGTTGTTAATGAACAGCATGTTCATGACACGAGCTGAGCCCAAACATGTTCGATTGCAGTGGTTGGGCCTCGTGAAGTTAAGGACCACGGTGGCCAAGATGTAGTTTTCTCATACTCTTCAGACTTATTGTAATTTCATTCTCCAATTGATTTGAATATAATAACAGATAAAGTGAGGATGGCCTTGCTAAAAGGTGACAATATGTACATGATGCATCTTCCATCTTTTTCTATTTGAGCTGTTTTAACTTTTAAACTTCTCAGCTAACAACTACACCGCCAAATATTCATATTGAAGGGAATCTTTATCCCAGCTGACCATGGATTGCTAGTCAGCCATGTAACAGGTTGACAAGCTTGAAAAGTGATCTTCTAGGCTCGGGCAATCTTGAGCTGAGTCTAAATGCCTTCCATTATAACCTAGCTGAGCTTGAAAAGATTGTTTCTCAAGTCACCTCGGTTCATTCGCTCTTCTAAATATGACGTCGTCTATAGTCCCTTGTGCAAGGCTCGCCTATTCATTTAAAATGTTAATCTTCCTTGTTGGTTCTTGTTATTTAAATGACCATGACAGAATATCCTATATTGTTTTCACTGTCAGATATTTTCTGCTTATGGTCTTGTTGAAGATGTTCACATTTTGCGTGATGAACTGAAGCAGAATCGTGGTTTGTCCGTTGCTCTTATTGCTTAATTTTGTTTTCATTTTAAAGTTTTAATGCATTTCTGCATAAAGTGGAAGAAACATTTTAGAAGATGACATCAGCTTGCCCCTGTTCTTGGTCATTTTGGATTTCTGATTCACTCTTTATAATTGATCTTGTGTTATCTTTAGTTTGAAGTCCATATGCATTGACTGCTTGAAGTTTGTTTTCTCATAGAATATTACTTTAGAACAACTGGTTAGTATGTATTCAGTTGTTTTATTGGGCAAAGTCTCGGTTGCTCTCTAATAAAAGAAGCTTGTGCTATGGGTTATCTTTTTTTGTTGCTCACAGTATCATCTGTGTTCTTTGCTAATCCGTAGTTAAAGATTTCACTGCATTTTAGTGTTGATTTACATTTTGCCTGATTTGTATATTCATGCCGCTTTCAAGGCTGCGGGTTTGTTCAATTTTCTAGTAGGGATATGGCAGTTGCTGCAATCAATGCGCTAAATGGAACCTACATCATGAGAGTAAACCTTTATGTTTACTTTGATGTGTATCGATTTTCTGATTTACTTTCAAGGATTTTCATTGATTTGCAAATCTTTCTTGTGATTTAGGGTTGTGATCAGCCATTAATTGTTCGTTTTGCGGATCCGAAGAAGCCAAGGACTGGAGAATTAAGGCACTTTCCCCCTTAAAAACTTTTTTTATTTGGTTAATAATTGCTTTATTGTATTCATTGCAAAACCCTGAGCAAATTGTGTAATTGAGTAAGAATGTAAGATGTGTTGCCTTTTCTCTTTCTTCTGGTTATAGATAAGATATGTTTCTTTTTTTTATTTTATTTTATGCAAGAGCTTCTTTCTTCTCAGAATCAACTTCTTTCTGATTTTCCCAACGAACTTCTGAATAGAACTCTAAAAGGGAGGAAAAACAAACACGAAAAACAAAATTGAAAAAGATAACTTTGTTTGCCTGCTCTGTTTTTTTTTTTTTTTTTCAGGCATGAGCACTCAAATATGGGGTCTTTCACACTTTATAACCTTCATGCTTTGTTATAAGATGATTATAGTAAGCAGAATTTAGGAAAAGGTTTTCATTTTATTGTAAACCCTTCTATAATGACTCTCTCTCTCTCCAGGGGTAATTCTAGAGTTGGTTGTCCAGGTTTTGGTCCCAGTAATCAGGAATCAATTAGGTCTGTTTGAACATCTGTGTCTCTAACCCTCTTTTTCCTCTTGTATTGTTTTTCTTCAATTTAAATTTTTACACTTCTGAATTGTGCTGTTACTTGTTGCAGGCCAGCATCTTATCCTAGTGACCCAATAGCTGGGCGTGAGCTGCCTAATGTTTCAGATCCACCGACTACATCATCTTCTCAAGTTAGTGTCCATAATTTGAGGAAAAATGCATTGCCAATTTCTTTCCAAGTTTAACTAAAGATTCTTTATGCTTTCACATAAAAGGGGTACCTGATTGTTATGTTAATATCCAAATTTTGATGTGTCGTGGTTTAGAGATATCTAGTAATTTATAATATACTCTTATAAAAAATAAAAATAAAAAAATCTAGTAAGATTTATATTATATTATTATAAAGGTACCCAAAGTCTACAAATTTCTCACGTTAGTAATTAAGCAAATGTAATTGTGTGAAGAAATTTCTGGATCTGATGTTCATTCCTAATCTGATCAAGTTGACTTGTGGCACAGGCAGAGTATTCCTTGGTGGATACCATAGAACGATGGCCTTGATGGACCTTCAGTTGTTTTATTTGTCTGATACATGTAGGAATTGTGTCTCAAATTCCTATTCTAATTAGGTTTCTATTTTAGAGTTATATTTTACTAGGAAATTTCTTGTTAGGATTGTCTTGGTGTTGAAGGATATAAATATTAAAGTTGCAGCCTCTCCAACAATTTAAGCTTTTAGAGTATATGGTTGTTTAACATGGTATCAGAGCCAAAGGTCTCTAGATCAAACCTCACCGTCACCCTAATTAAAAATGTGTTGGATTTCCAACAACTTAAGCTTTTAGAGTAGATGGTTGTTAATTAGGTGTAGCACTCTATAAATAGTTACCCAAGTTATGGGTTGAGACTCATGAAATTGAGAGAGAGATATAGTCTCATGATAGAGTTGATGGGTAGAGGTAGTTTATGGATTGGTAGAGTACGAAACACATTAGTGACAATGGTGAAAAGACATGTACGCTGTGTTGGTACTCTACTGCTGTAATATATCTACGAATCATAATGGCATCTCTTCTCATCCGTTGATGTAGCCGGGGGCAGGGCGCTTCTGCTGTCCCAACAGTTAACCTGTTGACCATACTTCAGTTGAGATTAACATCTGAGAATTATCATTCCAAGTGATGTGACAGTAACATCTTTTAAATTGAACGATTCGTTGATGGTCCTTTTAGTTTAAGAGAGAGAGAATCCAGATTAGCTGCACGATTACGTATGGGGAAGAAAGACTACAATTATTGTTAACCAAGGAAAATGATTCCTTGTAAAAACAAGATACTTTTGGACCAGAAAAATCCGTACTCAAAAAAACTAAAAAAATATTTTTTTCAAGTATGAGTTTTTGTCGGTAAAAGATAAAAATTGAAAGAAATAGAAAATAATAATAATAATAAGAAGAAATCAAATGAATTCAAGTGGTATTTAAGATTCTATTTGTAAGGAATTAATTTTAAATTAATAATGTGTTTGTTTATTTTGACCAGTCTTTTCTTTTGAAAACATCAGGATTGCCAAATACGAGCAACTGCTGGCCGTGCTATTGATTCTCTTCTGGGAATTGGTTTTCCCTCATCTGCGCAACAGGTAAATGCTGTGACAATTTCCTTTCATTGTAAGATTTGTTAGTCCCTTTCTGGATAAGTCAATTTATATTGCCCTTGGACACGATCCCCCACCTTCCTATTAGTCATTTAAGTAATAGTAGGTACCTTTTAGTAATCCTGAACCGGTCAAATTGGTTAATAACTAATAGGGGTGCACACAGGTCGAATTGGTTCAGTACCAAAACTAGAACCAATCCAATCCAAACCAAATGGATTGGTCCCACAAAAAACTGAACCAATGTGACGATCAAGACTGAACCAATCCAATCCTAGAAAACCAGATTTGGATCAGATTGATTTCATGGATTAGGCTTTTCTATTGGGCTTCTCAGAGTACCGCCCCCCACCCACCCAAAAACAAACAAACAAAAAAATGATTACATGTTCAATTCACATTCTTTCTCAAAAATTCATATCACTTTCCATGTTCTACAGTAGCATAAAAATCTCCAACATAAATAATAGCATAATGTGATTATATCAAAACTTGTGGAAGCACTTATAACAGGAGCTTAATTGAAACCACAAAGCAATCAAACGTTCTTGAAACATCATAACAGAAATAATAGCATGATTGAAAATTCTCCAACATCCATAACAGTTGCATAAAAATACAAATTAATCCCAGTTCTGGAAACTACAAAGCAAGTGCAATATTCAAACAGATAACCACCAAATAGTGTTAAAAAAATCCCATGAATATATCAATAGCTAATAGCGAACCATCCAACAATGAACATAATTTAACAGTTTCAACAGTGAACAAAGATGAACGAACTCCAAAAACAGGTTCAGCATCTCCACAATTCCATAAATCCTCTCAGAGAGTAGTGTCATCTGCAGAAGTGTAAAATTCAATTAAATTAACAATAAAACACGTACTTTACAAATATATTGATAAAAAAGAAATGATAATTAGTTATCAGAATCATATTCTTCAAGTTGCTCCATCTTTTCTTCAACTTCAATTGCCTCTTGTCCACAAACTAATCATTCCACAAGCTTTGGGGTTTGAGAACTCCGGACTTGATCAAGGACATGACCTCTAGTTCTAAAAGTGGACTCAGAAGCAATAGTAGAAACTGGAATAACTAGAATCTTTCAAGCAAGTTGCAAGAGTATTCAATAATTACTGCAATCAAACTTCCATTAATTTAATATTTCAGACTTTGGATCTTTTTGCTTCACAAGATTCCTCCACCTTGTACAATTGGTCCTTCATCCACTTGTATTAATAGACTGATAAACATTCTATTTGTGAAATGAATGTTCAAATCCTACTCTTCCCCTTCTAATTATGTTTGCTTAGACACCCATTTTCAATTATTAGATGTGCTGTTTTGAAACCCATGCAGCAGAATAAACAACAAAAAGTTGGTGAACTGGATAATAACACACCCACTCCTATGAAAAGGGAGAGATCAGTAGAATCACAAGTTAAAAGCTCAGAATCATCAGCAGGAGGTACGTAATCACTTCAATATGCATTTTCTTGATTGATTCTCTCTCTCTCTCTCTCTCTCTCTCTCTCCCCTTTTGGTTTTCTTAAGCACACTCACGGAGCATGATTTGCAGGTAATAAGGGCAATACAGGGTTAGTTATGGCTGAAGAATTTGTTGAAAAAGAGTGCATAACAAAAGAGACTGACCTTCCTGTCATCATAGGATTAGAGTGTAATGGGTTGAGGGGCTCACAAACCAGAAAATCTCATGACTTTCCCAGTGAGGAATCTTTGAAGCTCTTTAGAGATCAAAATCAGCAATTAAATGATTCAACAAGACACAAGATCAAGGTGAGCAATAATGAGGATACTCTCATGGAAAAGAAATTTTGTATTTGAAGAATAGAATAATGAAGTTCCTCTTTGTGCTATAAATCTACGGAAAGAAACTGATGAAATCAGGGAAGTTTTTATTTGTAACATATAACTGGGGTTGAAGTGCACTTAACACCCCTATAACTGGTAATAGATTAGATGGTAAGAGGCATAGCTTCATAACTAATTTGACCTTCTTTGGATATATCTATTGTAAGTTCATTATTGGTTTTTTTTTTTTTTCCTTTTATCTTTCTTAAATAATTCAGTCCTTTAGCCCCCACTGGTATAAGCTCAACTTACTGGTAATTTGATAGTGATTGATGTATGAGGCTTTGTCCACATCACTTGCTTGATGGTTGTTCTTTGTGCAGGAAATTAATCAGTTAGAAGGTAGAGAGAGCAATCTGAAAAAACGGAGGGGAAGGCCACCTAAATTACCAGCCAAAAGCCCCGAACCTTCGGTTGCAGGTATATTATAATACCTTTAGGTTATAATCGTTGTCCAAATATTAAAATTTTTAGTGGCAAAAATGTGTGTCATGGTTGTAGGTAAGGAGCACAATGGAGATGTGGTTGCGGCAGACGAGATAGTCGTGAAAGATTGCATAACGAGTGAAGTTGAATTGCCCGCAACCACAGGTGTGGGCTCACTTCTCAGTAATGAATATCTGGAGATTGTTGGGGATGATAAGAAGCTTCCAAATGGTCCCATGAAGCAAAAAAACAGTAAAATGAAAACTCCCCCTTCGAGACATGATAAACTATCAAATGTAAAAGTTGTGGAAGAGTCAAGTAGGCAACATGAGAAGTACTTGTCAATGAGGAGTAGGACAGCTGGCTTAAATATTGAATCTCCATTTCAAGGTAGGATTTTACATCATGTTGTACAAGTGATATATTTGCATAGAGGATGTTGTACAAGTGATATATTTGCATAGAGGATCAAACACCTACCAGTGAAGATATCATCTTAACCACACCTTCCAGTGAAGATATCATCTTAACCTCTACTGTGCATAATTTAGTATTCTATGTTCCTTTTCTTGCCATTGACTTTGTGTGGTACAAGTGATACATTAGCCTAGGGTATTATGGGTTTTCCAGTCATCGTTATATTTTTTATATTTACCTTCCAATGGGAGAGATCAATAATAAAAATAAATAAATAAAGAAAGAAAGAAAAAGAATTTGGAATCTTTCTAACGGGAAAGCAACCATAAAACAGTTAAAAGGTTCCAATTTGTCATATCTTCCATGTTTTGGTGGCAATCAAAAAGTTTTTGTTTTCATGATGGTATTATTCTGCAAAAGGATAGTTTAAGATGTTATTATAAGTAATTTGCAACTGCACTGAAGCATCTTCTGCTTGTGTTGGAGACGAACAGAACCTTGCCTCCCCTAATATTCTTTAGATTGAAGTGAATAAATCCAGCATTTTTTCCTCTCCAATATATAGGTTTTATCTTTTGTGCAACTGATGACCCCTTCTTTTTTTCTTTTCCATTTTTTAAGATCCTCAAGATGATTCCAGAGGGGAAAAAACTGCTGAAGATTTTGGAACAGATTTTGTAACGGAGGGAGCTGAATTGGCCATTGATAAATTACCCAGCAGCATGTCTGATGATCAACCTCTATCTATGTGGTTTGAAGGAATGCACTCTCCAACAGCTAATGGTTCAAGTAAGCTAGTCTGACCTTTTGATTGCATTCTTTATTTTATAACTTCTATGATAATATTTGTTTTCTATCTAGGAGTTTCCACTGATAGGACTGTTCAGATACCGAGGCAAGAAAGAGACTGATGACCCCTTCTTTTTTGTTTCTTTTTTCATTTTGCAAGATTCTCAAGATGATTCCAGAGGGGAAAAAACGGCTGAAGCTTTTGGAACAGATTTTATAACGGGGGGAGCTGAATTGGCCATTGATAAATTACCCAGCAGCTTGTCTGATGATCAACCTCTATCTATGTGGTTTGAAGGAATGTACTCTCCAGCAGTTAATGGTTCAAGTAAGCTAGTCTGACTTTTTGATTGCATTTCTTATTTTATAACTTTTATGATACTATTTGTTTTCTGTCTAGAAGTTTCCACTGCTATGACTGTTCAGCATATCGCAATCCAGCCTCCTGCAGTTGATGCCAATGGTGACATTGTGCCAGTTGAGAATCAAAGCTTGGCTTTTGTGAAGATCTCTCCACTTTGGGAAACAATTGAAACTATGGAAGTGTTCCGAGTGATGCCACAAAAGCCACATTTCCGTCCCCTGGATAATTGTAAAGAGAGTTCTCGTGAAGGATTAGCTATAGGTAGTATGGTAACGTTTTTCAATGTGGCAAAGAAGACATTCGAATTGCATTCTGATGATCCTAGAAGTGTCATTGAGGACGGTCTGGAAACTCTTCTCGACTTGGATAGTCATGGATTTGATGTGAAGTTGCTAAGAGATCGTTTAACTGGGTTGCTATTGTTGAAAGATAAGCAGGAACAACTTCAAGACCAGACAACGGAACTCAAAACTCGGATCATGGAGCATACTCATCAGAAAAGCAAAATTGATGAAGAGATAGATGAAATCGATGAGCTGATTAGGGTGTTACAAGAAAAACGTGCGTTGGTTGTGCCATTGAAGGAGACTAAGGATTCCGAGATTGCTTCTTTGCAATCAAGGGAGAGAGACATTATTGAAGACATTAAGAGCATGAAGCTGGATTTTGAAGGACTAGCTGCCGCGCCTTGGTGAGTGGCTTATTTTCATGTACTCCGCTTTGGATTATGATGTTAGGTGACCGTTGGATATGAGTAGCTAGCTGCTGGAGCAGTAGTTAACTTGTATGCTGATGGATCTGTCTGTACTTCTATGTAATGATGGTTATGAAACTCCCAACTATAATCATGACGGACACAGAAAATTTTGTGAGGGGATTGGCTTTTTAATTTGTGGGGGTAAAGTGACAAACTTATAAAATGGGTCTATTTTTGTAATTTTAATGAGGTCATTTTCATAAATTCTCAAAAATTTGAAGTATAAAATGCAAAAACAATAAATCCAATGGGGGCGGATTGTAATTTTAGTGGGGTATTTTCATAAATTTTTAAAAAGTTGAAGTATAAAATGCAAAAATAAAATAAAATAAATTATTGTGGGTGCTTGCCTGGCTATAATGGTTGTATTTAGTAGATATACTTATGATAAGACTGTGTGACGTCTCACATTGCTAGGAAAAGGTGGTTGGCACTTATATTGGTGGACATTTTTTAAATGTGTAGACACATTTTGAAAATTGTGAGCATGAAGAGTGTGTAAAATAGACAATATTTACATAGTGGGGTGGGTCATGAAAGATGGTACCATTGCCACTCAGTGTTGAAAATGTGGAAATGTGCACAAGTCCATTAGGGTCAGGCCAGGATGTTAGATCTCAAAATGGGATGATTACAAAGTTGTTAGATCTCAAAATGGGATGATTGCAAAGTTTTACATGCTGGGTTTTAAGAGGGAGTGGTTGTTACATCTCACATTTTTTGAAGGGAGAGGTTAGTGACACTTATATGTATGAATATTTTTTAATTGTGTAAACACGTTTTAAAAATCAAAAACCATGAATATGAAGGGTGTTGGAGGCAACGCAATATCCGCACAGTGGCACCGGTCCGACATTATTCAATCTTTTGTGGTTTTGTATTGTTCTCATGTTTGTGAAGGAATGGTTTGTTTTATTTTGCAAAACAAAGTAACTACCAACTCTTTTTATATTCCTTTCCTCACCATGCTAGTTTTATCCTTACGAGTGCTCACTGAGATCGGCTTTAAGTGTCTTTTCTTTGTCGGATGGATGTGCAGGATATGCTAAAGTGGAGACTCAAAAGAAATATCATTGGACGGCATATGTGACTTTGGAGTGCACCTTCATGCACATATTAATGGAACATGAAATGAAAAAAAAATTTAAAAAATAGAGAAGATAGAATGATAAGTTACATATAAAAGAAGAAGTTGTAAAGAAGTTGTAGAGAAGATAGAATGATAAGATTAAATTTTATTTAACAATTGTTTTAATTTTTGAAAATAAAATTTTGATTACTTTGATTTCACTCTGTGAAAATATGTCATTGTTATCTTAATGAAATATTAAGAGAAAAATGTAACATTTTAATAAAATAAAACACAATTAGTAGGAACTATATAGAGAAAATATATTATCTAGCCAAAAAAAATATTTAGCTAGCAGGAACAAAATATAGAAGTGCTTTAATAATTTATACAAGAAATAGTTATAAAATATGTCATCAAACAAGTGACAACTAAAAATATTAGCATAATTATTGTCAACTTAGTATCACAATATTTTAATATTTACTACTACACACAAAAACGACTGACGGGGAAGGTTCATATATTTTTGTTAAATATGAGGAGATAATAAGGGAATTTTTTTCTTCTATCACTTGAATTCATATAATATATATTACATTTGTGTATATGTAGTAAAAAAAACAATAATATTGTAATAAAAATTTAAAATAATGAATTTATATTTTTGTTGGACAGGATTTGAGCTTGGATTTAAGTTTTGTATGATTTTTTAGATGACACGAATTATTTTTATTTGTAAATTTATAATTATTGTGGTAAATAAATAAGTGTTTTGTAAACAATTTGGGGAGCGGGGGAGGCCATTGAATATTTTTTTATGAGTTTTAGCAGTCAAAAGTAGAGGTATTTATATAAAATAACAATTTATGAATGTATAAAAGGCTTCCCCCAGCTAGGGAAGGTATATGTATATCTATCAATGACTTTGGGTATAAATGTAGTTTTGTAAATATTTGGAGGGCACATCATTGTAATAGAAATATCTGACCCTTTTTTTTTTTTTTTGGAATGTAGAGACGGTTCATATTGTAACAATGCTTGGAATGTGTAATAAAGCTTAATTTCTTAACCAGTGTGTAATAAATTCAAAATTAAGGAGTTTGAGTATAATTTATCTAATTAATTTTTTCAAAAATCTCTCTAATTCTTCTTTATTATTATTATTGTTTTTTTACTTTTGTTTTTAATTAGCCATCTATGCAAGAAATATGAAAGGGAGATCCTCTATTTATTTATATTTTGCCTAAAAATTAATTAAATCAAAATTGTTCAGTTAAATAATTCAGGCATAGACATGCATGATTAAAAGCATTTCATAGTTTATTAAGTGTAATATGTTTAGCTAATTTAGGCATAGACATGCACAAAGAAAAATATAAAAATAAAAATCTACCCAAAAAAAAAAAAGACATGCACAAAAATTTAATTAAAAAATAATAATAGTTTTGTCAGGTACGTAATCAAGCATGAGACAAATTTATATAAAACTGAATAAAAAGATCAAATATTTATTATCAGACCTATGCTTAACGAACTTTTAAAGAATGTGACATGATACTTGTTAAATAAAACAAATATAAATAAATTAAAATTTTACATGAACATAACATTAAAAATTTATAAAAGAATAAAAAACACATAGTAAAATTCTTAGGATTGGTCTAGTTAAAAAATACTTTGGTCCTGGTGCTTCATGAAGTATCACGTTTTTGGATCCGATTCTTACTATACGCAAATAATTCATTGGAGAGAATTCCGTGTGAGTACATACTAAAAAAAAAAAAAACAAAAGCAAATCAACAATATGGTGAAGAATTGATTAAAAGGAGTTATAAATGACAATTAGACATATTTACCTATTCCTACATTACAAAGACCAATAATAAGAATTAAAATAAGAAAATTCATAACAGTTAAAGAACGTGGTATGCCCCTGGGCTTAGGAGATCCTAGGGCCTTTAATTTAGAACGGCCTCAAATTTAGAACATGAAAAAAAAAAAAAATGATTACGAAAATCTGCGTACGGCATACGTTGGGTAGTTGACAACCATTGCGTACCTAGTGTTGATTTCATATATATTTCAGTAGAGTTTTGTTATAATGTGGGCTATTAATACATGATTTTGATTTGAGAGCCAATTTCCAAGTAAATGCATGCAATCTTTCAGAATCGCCTCTCCACGTATGACAGGAAATGCATGCAACCTTTCACCGGATTCAGATTATGCCCTTTTTGCTATTCTGCTGATAAAACCCATGATCACATCTTCTTTTCCTGCCCCTTCATCAACCCAATTTGGAAATTTCTGCACAATTTATGTCGACTTCGTACCTTGCCCTCTTCTTGGGAAAATCTCATTGATTGGGCTTCATTTAGTTGGAGGGGACGAAACCTGCAAAACTCAATCAACAAGCTTGTTTTATCCACCTTTGTGAATCAGATCTGGATGGACCGCAATGAAAGAGCCTTCAAAAATAGAAGACAAACTCAAACAAGGTTGCTACAACGCACCATGGATTTAGTGAAGCAAAGGCTTAGTTCCTTCACTATAAGGGATTCTCCTATGGCGAGAAGGATCGTTCTTGAATGGGGTCTCCCTTAGTCTTTCATCAGGCCTCCACTAGAGCCAGACTGAACATTGGAGGCTCTGCCTCATCGCACTCACCACACCGGATGTCATGTTGTTTCAGACAAGCCTATTCTAGGGCTTCTAGAATATTATTGTCTTTTTCAACTGTTGTATGGCTTGTTTTGGGCCTCTGTTTTTGGGCTTTCCCTTGTACTCTCAGTTTATAATATATAACTTACCTTCCTAAATAAATAAATAAAAAATTGTGAGAGAGTTTGGTTCGGTTCAATGAACTAGAACTAGCCAAAAGCTTCGATGAAAGAGTCATTCTCAGTTTTCAACTACCGCACTAAATGTTTAGCCAAAAAAAACAAACCACCGCACTAAATGACTAGCAGCTTTGTGTCTCATTCAATACAAAACCAATTGACTTATTACAATGGTGGAACTAATCACAAAACTACACATAAACAAATATGTTAATTTTACATCACTTTTAAGTTGTTTTATGAAAATATTCATTCGCCCCTTTTTATTTATCCACATCGTAAATTGTGGCCCAGAACGGAGGGAGTACCACAAAATGGCCCATCCATAAATGAGCAGCTACTTATATATCACAAAATGGCCCACCCATAAATGCATCAAGTTAGTGAAGTAATTTCATTAGAAAGGATGGCCCATCCATAAATGAACACCTACTAGTATCACAAAATGGCCCATCCATAAATGAATATTGCTTACACTTGTTATAATATATACCTTACTGATGCTAATTATTTATATATATATACAGCTCCTCGACCACTATGCACCCTCCCGTCAGGGAACAGCCACTGCTACTCTACCTCACCTCGACTGACAAGTCTATTGGGGCCTTCTCGTTCAAGAGGTCGAGGGACAGGAATGGCCCGTTTATTATCTCAGCTGACTTATTCGAGAAGCTGAAACTCGCTACTCGGCTATTGAGCGCCACTGCCTCGCACTCGTCTTTGCTGCACAGAAATTTAGACATTACTTCATGGCCCATCCTATTCATCTTATCATATGGTGTGATCCATACCGACACCTTCTCCCCAAGCCCATCATCTCTGGAAATGCGTCGCGATGGCTCTTGGCCATCTTGGGGTTTGATATTACATGCCACGCACTGCAAGGCATTAAAAGTCAAGCTTTAGCAGATCTGCTCGCTCAGTTTCTTAAACAGAGACACAAACCTCTCGGTAAGACTCTACCCCTAGATGAACTCCAGGTAGCGACTATACAAGACACTGATGAAGAATGGCAGCTTGCTTTCGATGGCTCTTCCACTACCAAGGGAGGAGGAGCAGGAATTATCCTCACCTCTTCAGCGCAGCAAATCACAGCCGCTTTTAAGCTCGCCTTCCGTTGTTCTAATAATGAAGCCGAGTATGAAGCACTTATCCTCGGCCTTCTTGTAGCCTTAGACAAGGCCATCTCGAGTTTATGCATTTATGGAGATTCCAAGTTTGTTGTTAAGCTAGTAACTGGTAAGTACGCCATTCACGAGCCTTTG